TCTCTGGGAAAACACCCAACCTGGCCAGGGAGATGGCGCAGCTGTAGGGCACATGTCTTGCTGGCATGAGCTTTGATCTCCAGAAGAGAAAAAAAAAAACTCAACCCTGTGATGTCTCCTCCAAGTTCTTTCCTGCTTATAACTCTAGAGAAATCAATAGAGAATAGTAAGACTGAATTGTAGAGGTTGTAGAAAACAGTCAAGGATGGGGAATCTCTGTTTTTCGTTAAGACAAAAAGGAACTCAAGAGATTGCTCCCATTTCCTTTTCTGTCTCAGCGCTCTGATTATTTCTTGGCTAATGCAGTCTCCTTCGAAATGTCTTCATCTGGGACTCCTAAGCAATACTCAGAGAGGGCTGGGGAACAATCCCAGTGATATTTGAATGGCACCTGGGATCACGCAGTTTTGCACTCAAGCCTAGCAATGCAGCACTGCTCAGGTTTTTGCTGGGTCTACCAGGGCCATCCCCGAGACACCAGAGGGGGATGGCAGTACAGAGTACCAGGCACAAGAACTTGGGGTCTTGTGAATGCAAAACAAGAGCTGCAGCCCTCTGAGTTCTCTTCCCAGCCCCAACAAATATACCAATATACCAAATTTTTTTTTTTTTGCTTTTTGGGTCACACCCAGCAATGCTCAGGGTTTACTCCTGGTTCATGCACTCAGAAACTACTCCTGGCCGTGCTCAGGGGACCATATGGGATGCTGGGGATCGAACCCGGGTCGGGCCGCGTGCAAGGCAAACACCCTACCCACTGTGCTATCACTCCAGCCCCTAATATACAAAATATTTTAAATTTTTTTAAGATTTTATTTATTTATTTATTTGGCTTTTTGGGCCACACCTGGAAATGCTCAATGATTACTCCTAGTTCTGCACTCAGGAATTACTCCTGGGGGACCATATGGGATACAGGGAATCGAATCCGGGTTGACCACATGCAAGGCAAAGACCCTACCCGCTGTACTTTTGCTCTGGCCCCCAAATATACTCTTTCACGTAAATTTTGGATGGGTCAGGACCAGAGGGAGAGCTCATAGGGATGTGCATGGGCTTTGCATATAAGGCCTAGGGTCCAACTCCTGACACTGCACGGTTTTCCAAACACCACCCCGAAGTAACCCGCAAGCCCAAGGCAAAAGCAGACACTGAGCACCACAGGATAAGGCCCCACAAAACCAAAACATTATTTTTGGTTCATCATAGAATTTTGAATTCTTATTCTTTTAAAACATCATACTAAAATGCTACTCCTCTTAATTACTGAGATTTTGACCCTCTTAAATTCTGTGCACTCCCCTCATCCTGGTCCTGGGCCTAAGAATAAAGCCACCACTTCCTCACTGGACTCCCTTGTCTCCTAACCACCCCCTTCCCATTGTCTCCTTTCACTTTCTGTGTCTATTTATTCCTTCATGGGCTATAAACCTACTGTGTGCAACACCCCTGACACCCCTTGGAACAAGAAGAAACTTTGTTCATCCAGTAAATATGCATTGGTCCCCTGCTGTGTGCCAGCCATTCCAGGGAAGGACAGTAAAGAGACTTCTTTCCTCTGGTGTGGGAAGTTCAGACAAGAAGCCTAAAACACTGTCCTCCCATTGTTCATCGATTTGCTCGAGCAGGCCCAGTAACATCTCCATTTTTAGACTTGTTGTTACTGTGTTTGGCATATTGAGTACGTCACGTCACGGGGAGCTTACCAGGCTTTGCCATGCAGGCGAGATACTCTCGGTAGTTTGTCAGGCTCTCCGAGAGGGGGCGGAGGAATCGTACCTGGCTCAGCAGGCCTGGCTATGCGCAAGGCAAACGCCCTACCCGCTGTGCTACCACTCCAGCCCTTTTGGCTAAGATCAAGTGTAGACACGAAGCATATTCCCAACAAATTAAAAGCAGGAGTGGGGTATGTGGGTCAGTGGTACAGTTAAGCCTGACAGGTGTAGGCCTTGGGTTCTCCAACATCAACCACTCCCCTCCCCCCAAAAAATATTCCTCAGGCGCTGAGGAGATATATCAAAGGGCTGGAATCAAACATGGCATACTGGAGCTAGAGAGACAGAATAGCAGGCAGGGTGTTTGCCTTGCACAGAACCTACCCAGCATCCCATACGGTCCCCTGAGTACCTCCAGGAGTGATTCCTGAGTGCAGAGCCATGAGTAAGGCCTTAACAACACCAGGTTTGAAAAAAAATAAAAAGCTGGCATAGACTGAGCCTGGCTTCACCCCTAGCACCACTGGGTGTGACCCTGGTGGCCCCCAGTGCCACCATTTTCAAGCAACATCACCTCAAGGCTTGAGCACTGAGCCATCAAGGCCAGTACAACTGGGGTAAGTATGGGGTGGGGATGCTGGGCCATCTCCGTGTTGCTTAAGACCCCCCCCCCCCACACACACACACAATAAAGTTCCCTAAGTACTTCCAGGTTGAGCACTGCCAGGAGTAGCTCCCAAAAAATTAAAACTAATTTCTTAAGGGCTGGAGCGATAGCACAGCGGGTAGGGCGTTCGTCTTACAAGCGGCCAACATGGCCGACCCGAGTTCGATTCCTCCGCCCCTCTCGGGGAGCCCGGCAAGCTACCGAGAGTATTCGATATGCCAGACACAGTAACAACAAAGTCTCCAATGGAGACGTTACTGGGCCCGCTCGAGCAAATCGACGATCAACGGGAGGGCCTTTACCTTTACCTTTACCTTAATTTCTTTAAAATCAGAAAATGAGAGCCATTGTATTTACTGGTTTTGGCATATCGAATATGCCACAAATAGCTTGCCAGGCTCTGCCGTGCAGGCAGAATATTCTCAATAGCTTGTCAGGCTCTCCAAGAGGGATAGAGACTTTTAGGGCAGCCTCTAATCGTCCTTGCCAGTGTTCCCATGAATCTCACAAAGACAATGTTTATAAGAAACGGTCTCGTTCCTGACATTCCATTCGCTCTCAACCGAACGACCATCTCCAAATGCAACAGTTATGTGTACCTAGGTCGAGAAGCCAACATGACAAATGACCTGGCACCCGAGTTGCGCAGGAGGAAGAGAGCAGCTTGGAACGTCTTCAAGAGAGTCGAAGAATTTAGCTAGGAGGACGAAGAATCTCCAGCTCTGGGCACATCTCTTTGATTTCACTGTTCTTCCTGCATTAACATATGCCTCAGAGACCTGGGCCCTACGAAAACAGGATGAGAACACTACTCAAGTCTCCCAAAGAGAAATCAAAAGAGCTATTCTTGGAGTACCACGCTTCACTCAAGTGAGAGAAAGAATACGGAGTTCCAACCTCCATCGATGATCAAGAATCAGGGATACTGTCTCATTTGCCAAGGCGTCGAAAATCACATGGGCTGGACACATAATAAGATTTGGAGACGACTGCTTGACTAGAGCTATTACCGACTGGATTCCATGGAACGTCAAAAGATTGCGTGGCAGCCCACCTACGAGATGGTCAGACTTCTTCATCAAGACCCTAAACGATTGGTTTGAGGCTCTTCGTGTTCCTAGAATGAGTAGATGCCAATGGGCTACACTACCATGTGACAGGGATAAATGGAGACGTTACTGGCGCTTGCTTGAGCAAATCCATGAGTAACGGGATGTCAAGTGATCAAATCAGAAAAAGTAGCAATATGGGGAGTATGGTGCCGCCAGCAGGTGTCAATCTGTACCTGTGAGGCGAGTGCATCAGCAGCCTGATGGCGCCTTCAGACTTCCAGATACCCCAAAATTGCTGCTGTGCCTTTGGCCAGACCTCAAAAGCTTGGAGCAAAGTTTACCAAGGAAGGAAACGGCCAAAAGTTAGGTATGTGGGAGACACACCCACAAACCACCTCCGGCTCAGCTATATAATTGGAAGCATGGCCTCTCTGGTTCCTGATTGAACTGCTTAATGGCCATGATCCCAGAGACTCAGAAACATCTCGAAACCCAGTGGCTTTTGGCAGAAATGCATCTGGACCCCGCAGTAGGTTACTGTCACTGGGCCACCCCAGGGGGGAAAGGGTGTTGTCCCTCCACCTGCTTCCCCCTGGCGGCTCGGTGGCCGTCATCCTCCAGAGGCCATTGGACAGTCAGGCTTGGGCCCGCCGTGACAAGATATGTTGGGCCTCACAGGATGGGGGTGTAGCCGGGCCTGTCCTCCCCACCCCAGCGAGACCCCAAGTCATCGCCCACAAACGGCCTTTCTAGCTCCTGATCAAGCTGCTTAATGGCCATGGTCCCCGAGACTCAGGAGCAAACCTCAGAACCCAGCAGATTTTGGCAGACAGCCTTCCAGATTTAAGTGTTAAAATTTCGAATTTCAAAATCGCACGGCCACTACTGCAGCCACGCGACATCATATGTTATTCATAACCAGCAATAGGAAACAAATTGTCTACTGTTGCCTTTTCAGCAGATCTGAGTAAAATCTCAAATAATAATGGGGGTTCTGGTGTCAAAATATTGAATGTGATCAAAGTAGAGAGAGAGTAATGTGGAAATCATCTGCCCCACAGGTAGGGGGAGGGTGTGGGTTGGGGGTATACTGGGGTTGTTGGTGGTGGAGAATGGACACTGGTGAAGGCACGGGTGTTTCATTGTATGACTGAGATTTAGACCCGAGAACTTTGTAACTGCTCTCACAGTGAATCAATAAATAAAATTGTAAAAAATGAAGAAAAAAAGTAGCAATATGTTCTATAAAGAGGGGTTCAGAGCGAAGTACAGTGGTTAGGGCATTTGCCTTGCACGCGGCCGATCCAGGTTCAATCCCCGGCATCTCATATGGTAATCCCAAGCACTGCCAGGAGTAATTCCTGAGTGCAGAGCCAGGAGTAACCCCTGAGCATCACTGGGGGTGACCCAAAAAGCAAAAATAAACAAGTAAATAATCACTTTTTAAAAAAGAAAAGAAAAAGTATTGGGGTCATGTGCTCACAATGGTCACAGATTGGGGAGACAGACATATAAATGGGAAATAGTCTTGTTTGTTTTCTGTGTCTTTTCCCCTGCTCCCAACCCTCAAATTCATTCACAATACTGACCAGGTAAAGGGCCCAGGCTGAAGTGGACACAGGGCAGGGACACTGTGCCTCCTCCTTCTACCCAGTTGGTGTCAAGAAAACAGTCTGTGGGAAGCACGAGGAGGCCTGAGTGGGGAATTGTTACACCCGGGGCTCTGGGCACTGATGGAGGTATAAAGGGGTTGGTCAGGAGCTATTTATAATGGGAAGAGAAAGTCAGAGCTGAGACTCAAATACAGAGGAAGTGGCCAGATGGAAAAGTGGGGACTGCAGATATTAGATTGTGAACCAGGCACGGAGCTGAGAAGCAAGATGGTGAGCTGGGTCTAACTCAGGGAGAGCTGAGACCGCAATGGCTGGTGGGGCAGAAATCTTGGAGATCTGGGAGGTCGTGTCAGGAGTTGACAGGTGCTTGGGGGGAAGAACCAATAACCACACCTGATTCCTAGCTTGGAGATTGCGTAGATGGTGGAGCCAATAAGAAGGGAGGAGCAAGTTCCTTGGTGCCTGGTCTGGTCAGGCATGGCCTGAGTTGTATGGTCCATTGAGATGCCCAGATGGAGACATTCAGGACACAGGGGAGAAAAGTCAGGAAAATGGAAGCAGAATGATTCCTGGAAGAAGAAAGATGAAATACTGAATTTTGAGCAAGAAGACCTCTGATTCCTACTCCAGGGGTCAATTGGGGTGATGTGGGTTTCTTTCGGAGGCAAATAAAGCTCCAAGACAATAAAATCAACTGATATTCCACCCCTCCTCCCAGATCTAAGCCTTTTCAGAGTTATTGGGGGCAAACAAAACATGAGGTTGGAAATATAGTTGGGGGACTGGAGCAATAGCCAGCAGGTAGGGTGTTTGCCTTGCACGCGGACAACCAGGGTTTAATTCCCAGCATCCCATATTGTCCCCTGAGCACTGCCAGGAGTAATTCCTGAGTGCAGAGCCAGGAGTAACCCCTGTTCGTCACTGGTCTGACCCAAAAAGAACAAAAAAAAAAAAGAAATATAATTGGTTGTACAGTTGATAAAATGCAATGCTTTCAGATTTTAAGTTTCATGTTGTTATAGGGACATTCCTGATAGTGCTCAGAGCTACTCTAGGCCTTGGGGGGGGGGGGGGGTCACTCCTGGTGGTTCTTGGGGGACCATGTATGCCAGAAATGGAACCCAGCCTCCTGCACACAAAGCATGTGCTCTAACTCTGTGAGTTATCTCCCCAGACTTAAGTTTTTATTTGTTTTGGGATACTCAGGGCATACTCAGGGCATACTCCTGGCTCTGTATCTCCAGCTCACTCCTAGAAGTGTTCAGGGGGCCAGAGATGGTGCTGGGGATCAAGTCAGGGTTTACCACAGGAAAGGCAAGCACTGTAACCCTCTGGGCTCTGCCTGCCTTAATTTTTTTACTATGGATTTTACTCCCAGTCCTCAGGCAAGAAAATGCTTCTAAAATAAGATTCCCACTCAAGGGGCCAAAGAGATAGTACAGTGGGTAGAGCACTTGCTGACTTTTCATGTAACCAACCTGGGTTCAATCGATCCCCAGCACCCTGAGCCCTGAATGATCCCTGAGTACAGACCCAGGAGTAAATGCTGAGCACCACTAGGTATGACCTCAAAACAGACAACAACAACAACAAAAACTCACCCAAGATTTCTCAGTTTTCTTGTTATCCAAACAGTAAGGAAATTTATAAAATGGGATCATTCTTCCAACCCCAAAGGGTCAGTGTGAGGACTAAGAGACTTTAGAAAATACACTCTAAGTGGTAAGTACAATATGAACAATCTAGCAGCCTGCTGGCAAAAAGCAATACCCACTGTCCAGACAAATGAAAACGAACAACAAAACCTCGGTCATAGCACTGGAATACCTTGAGAGACCAGTCAGGAGCAGACTATGAAATTCTCTAAGGCCATCTGCAGCTGTGCCTTCCTAAAGTTCAGGGCGGAGGTACAGCTGCCCAGGAATTTGTTCCTCCATAACTTTGAGCTCCCCAAATCCCCATGAAGCCTGGGGATGGTGTGACAACAGCGTGTGTGGGCACCCTGGCACCCAGGGTCCCTCCATAAATCAAGGTCTCACGTCTGTGGGTCTCAGACAACTTTGTCCAAGGTGAGCTGGGAAGAACTAAAGGGCAGAGGCCCAGTTCAGAGTGGCATCTGCCTTTGAAACGAAAACCCTGAATGTGCCGAGAGGAACATTCTCTAGAAATGCATCCTTCTTTCAGCTCAGAAGACAATTCCATCTCTAGGAGTTTGAAGGAGCCTGACAGTCTTCTCAGGAATTCATCCAACTAGGTGATCTCAGAGAATCCCCGAGAATTTGTCAGAGAAATCTTGTTCCAGGGCTGGGTCAGTCACAGCAAAATTAAGGTAATCTTAGCTCTGCCACCAGTTACTCTCAAAGCAGCCAACTTAGACAGTCAGGTAAATCACAGAATGTTAACCAGCTGTGCTCACACCCTTTTCAATATGGACTCAGAAACTACAGACAAGAGTAGGCCTCTAGTATAGGAAGGACTTGCCCGAGATCATAAAAGTGATGAACCTAGAGGAGAAAATGCAAGGTGAGGCCAAGGGGTCCAAGTTGTTTCTCAAGACCACACTACACACTTTGTTTCATGAGGCCGCTTCCAGCCCAGGCCTCCAGAAAACCAGTCCTGTCCATCCAACTCTTCCTGCCATCTTAACGCGTGGTGAGCAGCATTTAAATGAGCATTGAGTTTGGAGACCACAATGCCCTGCCTAGCTCACAAACACGTGAGCAGAGAAGGAAACATTCCTTAGAAACACCGGTACCTGCCAAGTTTATTACCTACAGATCCCCGGAGGTACTTGGCTGAAGACAGCAAGGGAACTGAACTGAGGCCAAGCCCTGCCAAGGTGATCAAGCCCCCAGAGTGAGGAACTCCTGATGACCCATGGAGTGCCTGGAAAAAGCAGTTGAAATGGAGCAAACACACACACATTCATACATGCACATGATCACACACATGCGCACACATATATGCACACTCACACATACACATACACACCTGTCACTGTCACTGTCCTCCCATTGTTCATAGACTTGCTCGAGTGGGCCCAGTAACATTGTGAGACTTGTTACTGTGTCTGGCATATCGAATATGTCACGGGTAGCTTGCCAGGCTTTGCCGTGCGAGCGAGATACTCTCGGTAGCTTGCCAGGCTCTCCCGAGAGGGGCAGAGGAATGAAACTCGGGGTGGCCATGTTGGCCGCGTGCAAGGCAAACGCCCTACCCACTATGCTATCGCTCCAGCCCACATACACACCACTGTTTGCAATTAATAAGTTGGTGGATTAAAATGTTTGGTTCATTGTGTATTCAAGAAATGGTTTCCAGAGGCCAAAGAGATAATACAATGGGTAAGGAGTTTGCATTGGATGCAGTTGATCCAGGTTCAATCCCCTAGCACCCCATGTGGTTCCCCAAGCCCTTTCAGGAGTAATCCCTGTGTGCAGAGCCAGGAGTAAGCCAAGTTCACAGATAGATATGCCCCCCCATACACAAAAAAAGAAATGGATTCTGAGACTGGAGAGATGGTATAGCAGATAGGGTGCTTACTTTGCATGAGAGTGATCAAAAAGGGGAAAAAAATGGTTTCTGACATTAAGTGGGTAAGCTAGCATCGCTGGCTTTCCTTCTCACCCCTCTTACGGTGGGTTTGGGGAGGTTAAGAAGACAGGGAGGGATAAGAATTATTTGGCCATGCTCAACTACTCTCAGGGATTACTCCTGGCTCTGTGCTCAGGGATCACTTCTAGCATTGCTCGGGGAACCATAAGTGGTCTGGGATCAAACTTGGTTCGGCTATATGCGAGATAAGTGTCCTAAAGCACAGACCTGGGACAGAGAGATAGCTTAAAAATATGCCTTGCATGAATGAGACCCAAAGTTCAATTCCTGACACCCCATGCATCACAGTCCCCCACCCACCTCCATCTGCCCCAGCAATGCCAGGTATATCCCTGGTGGCCCCAACAAACATTATCGTTGACCTGGATAGCTAAGTATCACCAGAAGTGGTCCCAAGGTCTCCTGAGCATTGCTTTAAGTGGATCCCCCTGCCACCCAAAAATAATGAAAGAAGGCAGAGATAGCTCAAGGGTTAAGGAACATGTCCTGCATTTGACCAACCCCAGTTCAATGCCCGACATCATGTGGTTCACTGAGCATTGCAGCCCAACTGGCCAATAATCTCATGGAGTGCTCCGCACCTGACCTAGGGATCACTGCTTGGGGGGCACCTCAATATAAAAAATAATAATAATAAAATAAAATACATGCATCACAGAACTTATTGCAGTGTAACTGAGCTATTACTATTAGAGAGCCACCCAGTGAGAGCAGTCACTGCGCCTGGCTAATTTTCTCACAAGCATGTATAGCGCTGCATGCATATTTTCAAATAATGAAGTGAATGAAGAGTCTTCTGCCCCGCGTCTGGCTGTCCTCGCCAGGGCCCTTTGGAGAGTGCAGCTTGTGTTTCCCTCCCTGCCCCGACCAGAGCTTTGGCAGCTGAAGACCTCCAGAACCAGCCACAACCATGGTGAGACCAGTCTCCACATGCATGAAGGTACCGGCAGAGGAACAAAGGCATGCGGGTCCTGGGGCTGAGATCTCTATGCCTGCTCGGATCGGCGCTGAGCACCCTCCACCCAGATCCTCCAAATTCCAGTAGGCAGGGGTCACACGCACCAACTGACCCCCAGCGCCATGTAATCCCATCAACGGCCAAGACCCAGAGACTATAAAACCCAGCTCCCCGAATCCCTCGGCAGCATTTGCGGCCGCGCAACATCTTATTATGTCATTCCTACTTTGGACAACTTGGCAGGCTATGGATTGTAACCTGCCCACAGGGCAGTCTGGCAAACTCCCCATCGCATACCCAATGTGCCAAATACATTGTAACAATGATGGGTATCATTCTCCTAACCCTGAAAGACCTTGAATATGGCACTTTTTAAAATCTCAGGGCTAGGATGAAGGAGATTGTTACTGGTGCCTGCTCGATGAACAACAGGCAATCGATGAACAACAGGATGATCGTGATCGTGAAGTGAATGAATGGAAGGCAGGAATGCATGCACGACAACTTTGCCTTCTCATTTCTCAAATCCCCAGTTCATTTACCAACCCTCTTTGCGCTGCACTCGGAACAGTTGTGACTGTAAAATTCCACAGCGCCTGAGACACCCCGGCCCTTGCGCTGTAAGCCCCACCCCCTTCCCCCTCCAAGACCCCGCCCACCCGCCGAGACCCCGCCCTCCCTCCGCCACTCCGCCCAGATTCGCCCGCCCGCCCAGACTCCGCCCCTTTCCCGCCTCAAGGACGGTCTCACCGCTGGAACGCGGGAGAAAGGCGCAACTGCGCATGCGCCCGCCAGCCCGCGGCGCCCGCCCTCCCGGCGCCGCACTCGGTGGCTCCTGGGCGGCTAGCGGGGCGTCCCCACCGGCGGCGGCGGCGCGGTGCTCGGCGGGACGCGGGCGGAGGACGACCTCGGGGCCGAGGGGCGGGGCGTCAGACCAAGATGGCGGCGGTGGCTGCGGTCTCCTTGAGGCGCCGCTTTGCGGGCGCCGCGGTCGGCGGAGCCCGCCTGCAGGTGAGTGCCGGGAGCCGGGCTCGGGGGTCGCGGGGGTCGCGGGGTCGCGGGCCCGGCCGGGAGCCTGCGGGGCGGCGGCGGCGGCCGCGGAGGCCCCGGGGCCGGGCCCGGCGCACCCTGCGGGCCCCCGCGGCGTGAGCGCCCCTGGGGCCCCGGAGCGGCGCCGGCGGCGGCTCTGCCCGACTTGGCGGCAGCCTGTGCATTGCGCAGTGCAAACTTTTTTTTTTTTTAAGAATTTATTTTTCTCTTTAAGAATAGATGTGAAGTCCATAGAAAGACCTTGGGTTGCTCAAGGTCACATGGCCGGTGGGGGACGACGGGGCGCCGAACGGGAGTAGGCGGGTTGCGACGCCCGTCTCTGCCCCCGGCGAGTAACGGGGCCCGGGTGCCGCGCCCGCCCCCAGGCCGCCGGCCTCCTGCACAGGCTGGACACGTCCCCAACGCTGCCCGGGCCCGGGCCCGGGGATGGCAGCTGGAACGGGCGCCCCAGCTCCGCGCGGATCCCAGCCCCTCCGCTCCGACCTTCGTTTGCTCTATTGGGCAAGGCGGACACCGGGACTCCGAGTGTCCGAAGCCCTTGCAAGTCGCTTCCTTGCTCGGGGCTCCTCGCGGAGGCTTTGTAAGGTGGGGCTAGCGGGAATTGATGCCCTGCTGGAGATTTGAAAGTAAGGGCTCTCCCCCCCACACCCTAAAAAAATTTATTATTATTTTCACTGGCTCAGAATATCAACCAGGAAATAGTGGCGATGGTGTGCGGTAACTGTGTACTGCATACCCCTTGAACACCATCGTAACCTTATTACCTACGCTGTCATTTAAGATTTGTTTTAGAAAGAAGTGTCACATCCAGAATCTATACTTGTGCTTGTGTTTTGTGGGAAAAAAAAAAAAAACTTCCTAGCATACATCTGGCACAGGGAAAAGCATTCAAGGAATGGTTCCTACCCCCTTCTTGCACTCACGTGACAACTCCTTTTAAGTGACTTCCTCTAATCCTACCTTTACAGTGTGACATTGAACAGATTGTTTTATGGTCTTTGAGAAACGGAAATTGGGGAGGAAGACTGCCTATTAGAACCCCAAGGTGATGTTTTCTGGGCGATCATGGTGATTAATAATGACCTTGTTTCTCACTTCCTTTCGCAATTGCTGAACCAGCAGCTTTGAGAGTTTTAAAGCTCTGCTTAGTCCCTGGAGACTTGTTTCATAGGTCAGTGTTAAGATTCTAGGCGAGGCCCCTGCAGAGCTTCCTGAGGGCAGAGAAATAGAAGAGCCTGCCCAACTCCTGTAGTAACATGCAATCCATATCCACAGAAGCCACCCAGACAATCTAGTGATGAGCTTAGTGGCTGGGTCCCCATCTGTAATATTGCCAAGACTGTAAAACATAGTAGAATTTTTCCTCTGAATTTTCTTTTTTTTTTTAATTTTTTTTATTATAAAATTTTTAATAGTGACACATCATGTGGTACAGTTGCAGACTTACACATTATTGTGCTTGGGTTTCACTTATACAATGATCAAACACCCATCCATCCACCAGTGCCCTTTTCCCACCACCATGGATCCCAGTATCCCTCCCACCCTCCATCCCCCCATCCCACCCTGTCTCTGTGGCAGGGCATTCCCCTCTGTTCTCTCTCTCCTTTTGGGTGTTGTGGTTTGCAAATGAAACATTGAGTGGCAATCATGTTTGGTCTATAGTCTATTTTCCTCTGAATTCTTTTCTATGCTGTGGAAATACTGTTCTGCCTCTAAGTAATTAGCTGCCAGATATTAAATGCTGGCATCACGGCTGCTTGGACCTGAGGTTGAAAACCTAGAATACTTCTCTGCTGATCAGAATAAGATAAGGATTTATAGCGTTTGCCAGTATTGCCACTGTCTTCTGGGCTATGCCAGGTGCTTAATCCTCTTAATCTTATGGGGTAGATTTTAATACATCCTACAAAAGAGGAAATACAAAGAAGTTAAGCAATTTGCCACTAAACTCATAACTACCAAGTGGTGGTAGAGCTTGGATTTGAATAGCGCTCGCACTTTTTTGTTTTGTTTCTGAAAGAGAGAGGGCCTACCCAGCAGTGCTCAGGCTCCCATGGAAAGTTATGCTTACCTCCCAACACTCAGTTTTATTTTATTCTGATTTTCATTTTAGGCTCCATGGTTTATAACACTTCAATTACAACATCTCGTGCATAACACATTCCTGCACCGTACCCTCCACCAGAGTGTCTACTTCCGTTGTCCACACAGTGCCAAATCCTCCTTTAACTCCGGAGTTCCCCCTCCTGTGCTAAACTTCCTACTGAAGACCAGTTCTCAGTCTCTGTTGCCTTTGGACATTTGAATCTTTGTTTCTTCATATCCCACTTAGGTGAGAGAGAATTCTCAGGTTTTATAGAATGAGGTAATATGCTTTCGAAGTATTCTGTAACTGATGTCTTGCTTCATTAAAAATTTACATTACCCAGATTTCATAGTGTACTCAGCCACTGGGTGTTATGGATTGAAAAATAAAAACGCTTTTGGACTAGAGAGACAGTGCAGCAGGGAGGGCACTTGCCTTATACCCAGATGGCAGGGTTTGATCCCCAGCATCCCGTATGGTCCCCTGAGTGCAGAGACATCAGTAACCCCTGAGCACCGCTGAGTGTGGCCCAAAAAATAACAGCAAAAATGCTTTTGAGGAGCCAGAAGAATGATGGCTCAGACAGGCTTTGTTTGCAGGAGCCCCAGGTTTGACACTCCTTGGCCCCTCAGCCCACACACACTGCTGGATGTGGCTCCCCAAAACTACATGGACTGTCTTCCATCGTGGGTGTTGCTGTAAATTGCTGGAACAAGGGGTTTGGAGCGATAGCACAGAGGGTAGGGCGTTTGCCTTGCACTTGGCCAACCAGGGTTCGATTCCCAGCATCCCATATGGTCCCCCGAGCACTGCCAGGACTTCCATTGTGGGTGTTGCTGTAAATTGCTGGAACAAGGGGTTTGGAGCGATAGCACAGAGGGTAGGGCGTTTGCCTTGCACATGGCTGACCAGGGTTCGATTCCCAGCATCCCATATGGTCCCCCGAGCACCGCCAAGAGTAATTCCTGAGCGCAGAGCCAGGAGGAACCCCTGTGCATTGCCAGGTGTGACCCAAAAAGCAGGAAAAAATAATTGCTGGAACAAAGAAGAAAAAAGCTCAAATTTTGCCCATCACCCAGCTACCCTACATTCTCCTTCCCTTGCTATGACTGAAAATTGACTGCTTTTTTTTTTTTTTTTGGCTAATCCTTCACCCATGCACTCTCCATCCCATCACTTGCTAAAGAATAACTCCGACATTTCTCCAGTTCTCCATTCAGTTCTCATATTGTGCTGGTTTTCCCAAACACAACACACAAGCATTTGTAAATTTTAATTTTGTTTTGTTTTGGGGCCGCACCTCAAAATCCCTCCAGGCAGAACTCAGAGGACCATATGGGGTTCTGTAGATGGAACCCAAGTTCGTCACATGCAAGACAAGTGCCCTTCTCACTGTGCTTTCTCTCTGGCCCCAAGCATGCTCTAATTTTTCCCATCTTAAAAAATAAGTAGGAGAGGCTTCCAGAAGCAGGAGCTTCCCAGCTTGGAAGCGAGCCTGGTCCAGGCATGCTGAGTCCCAAATGCCCAGCCCTACCGGACAGTGACTGGCTCAGCAACATGTCCTCACATACATGGAGGATGTGAGCGTGTGTTGCTAGAGGACAGAACGTTAGCCAGTACAGTATCAGGTTCCTCACAGAGTAGGACTGATCTTGGAAGAGACTCCAAGCCAATGAAATGCCCAAGTCCACCAGTCTTCGGGCTGAAAACTCTGGGGCCTTCTCTGGTGGGACGCAGGCCTGCAGAAGTCCCAGCAGCCACACCCACATCCCACAACCTCTGGCATATAAACATCCAAGCTTCACAACTAATCTCAGAAGACCTAATCTCAAGAGAAAGAACCATCCCAATTCTACAGGTCTTGGAGCATGTGACCACATGTGCAGCAGTGTTGACTTGTCCAAATTCCACGATACTGGCAGCCTCGCTGGAGCACAGCAGATTAAATGGCAAAGTAGCATAGAAGCCCACTGAGCCCATTAAGCAAAAACAGTATCACAGAAGGTTCAAGAGCACAGCTAGGTAAATCCCTAGACCTAACTGAGGACTTAATAATGCCATTGTGAGTTATAATTTGTAACAAGCAATATAAAATTATTTTGTGCGTGGTAGTCAGGCAGAGGTGTGGGTAGGAAACTGGGGACACTGGTGGTGGGATTGGTGTTGAAACATTGCCAGAAACAACCTTATTATGAACAACTTTGTAAAACACGTTGTTACAAATAAAGGTAGAAGAAAAAACTAAGCAGGGGTTGGTTAAATTGTACAGCGAGTAGGGTATTTGACTTGCATGTTGCCGACCCGGGTTCAATCCTCAGCAGTGATAGATGTGGTCCGAAAAACAGAAAAGCAGATTTGGGCCAGAGATAGTGCAGTGGGAAAGGGACCACTTCCTGAGTACAAAGTCAGGATTGGCCCTAAGCATGTCTGGGTATCCCCAACCTCCCCAATAGCCCTTTGTATCTGGATCAGCACAGCACCCTCATTCTCAGATCATCTGATCACATTTTCCTCTGGTCATTGTGATTTCAGTATCCTTTCCTAATTCCTGTGATCAGTTCCTTCACCCCAAACTTGAATTTAAATTAGTTGTTTTGAAAAAAAAAAGTGCCATTTTTAGGGAACACCAAAACTTATGTTGCAGTTTGTTGTCTTATGATACCCTGTTGTGATATGGCCTTATTTTTTTTCTGCCTTACGTCATTGATCTGATCCGAAGTTTTTAGATAAATCTATCCCCTTTGAGGAAGATCTGCTACATAGTCAGCTGGGTCAACTTTGTGAGGGGGGAGGGATTCCTTTACGTATCTTGTGGTGTCAGAGATCAAACCTGAGATCTCACAAGTGTAAGGAAGGCAAGTGCTCTTCCTCTGAGCCACAGCGGCTGCCCAGACTGCTGTGTCTTTCTGGAATGGATAGGAAGCAGGGAATTAGAATGTGGTGTCAAAGTCAGGACCTTTGAAGGTCAATCTGAGCATTAGCCCTCCAGGTGTAAAATACACCTGGCAGCAGCCTGCACATAATGAGATTGCCTTTTGTGCCCTGGAGTGACAGCTGGCAACCCAGAGCTCCAGGTTTGTTTTTGTTTTGGCCTCAAGCTCAGGTGCAGGGTGCTGTCTCGCCCAACCAGAGTGCAAGGACTGGAGGGAGGATGGCACTACTCTGACTTTGCAGCGCTGGGACGTCTGGGGAGTAAGGTGCTAGAGATCAAACTAAGGTTGGTGGGACCAGAGTGATAGCACAGCGGATAGGGCATTTGCCTTGCACAGGGCCAACCCAGGTTCAATTCCCGGCATCCCATATGGTCCCCCAAGCACCATTACACCTGGAGAGCTAATGCTCAGGAGGGCTAATTCCTAAGTGCAAAGCCAGGAATAACCTCTGAGCTTCGCTGGGTGTGACCCAAAGAGGCAAAATAAATAAATAAATAAACTTAAGGTTGATTGAAATCTGGCCTTCACTAGTACTTTCATGGGAAACATAAATGTGTTTGTTTTTGTTCCCCTTGTGGTTGATTTGAGCCCTGCCTGGGGGTGGCTCCCACACCTCACTGCTCCCTGGACCACTACTCCCTGGAAGCCACACTTCCTAACTAGCACTTACACGTTTTTCAGGTTGCAGTGTTTTCTGGGAGTTGCACCCTTTATGGTACCCGGGTTCCACACCTCAGAGCTCCCTGGACCACTCTCCGGCATACATAGGACACTGAGGATTTAAATTGATGTCTATATGCTTGCCTGGCCCATACTGTACCTGGGCCTTGATTTTATTTATCTGTCTGGGGCTGGGCCTTACTCTGGTGCACTGTTCAGGGGTTGGTCTCGTGTTTCTTGGACACCATATGCTCATGGATCAAGCCCAGGCCTTTTATCTCTTTCCCTAGCACCTATCTCACTGACTTCCGAGTTTGGTGAGTTTTTAAAAACAGAGACATAAGGCCAGAGCGATAGCACAGCAGGTAGGGCGTTTGCCTTGCACACGGCTGACCTGGGTTCGATCCCCGGCACTCCAAGCACCGCCAGTAGTGATTTCTGAGTGCAGAGCCAGGAATGACCCCTGAGCATCGCTAGGTGTGACCCAAAAAGCAAAAAAAAATAAATAAAAATAAAAATGGAGACATAAAGCCGGAGCAATAGTACAGCCAGTAGTGCTGTTTGCATTGCACAGAGCAATGCAGGTTCGATCCCCAGCACCTCATACGGTCCCCTGAGCACAACCAGGTGTGGCCCAAAACAAACAAAAACAGAAAACTAGAGTATCTCCTAGTGGTTACCATCCTGGGCACTTTGTCCCAGAGAAACGAGACTTAATGTTCACACAAAAACCTGCCCATGGATGCTCATTACAACTCTATTCATACCAGTGTAAAATAACACACATCCTACACCATTTTATGACTGTGTATTGGCACCAGAAAAAAAAGAGAAGCTGTTGAAAACTACTGATGTAGACATCTGTCAGTGGGTGCATGCATCTTGTGATGGAATACTACTCAGTAATAAATATTGAAGTACACAGTAGGATTGGCTGGACTTGCAGAGAATTATGCTGAATGGGAGAAAAAAAGGTCAGGGGGCTAGAGCCATACAGCATGTACGGTACCTACCTTGCATGTGGCTGAAACAGGTTCAATCTCATACGGTCCCCTGAGCACTGCCAAGAGTAATTCCCAAACTCAGAGCCAGGTGGAACTCCTGAGTATCACCAGGTGTAGCTCAAAATCAAAAAAGTGCCCCCCAAAGAGTCTTACACTCAGTGGCCAGACAGATAGTGGATGGGGCACTTGCTTTGCACATGGCCACCTGGGTTCTATCCCTGGCTCCCTCTGTGGTCCCCTGAGCACCAGTAAGTGTGGACCAAAAATAGTCAAAAAGATGGGGCTGGAGCAATAGCACAGCAGGTAGGGCATTTGCCTCGCACACAGCCAGTCTGGGTTCGATTCCCAGCATCCCATATGGTCCCCCCGAGCACTGCCAAGAGTAATTCCTGAGTGCAAAGCCAGGACTAACCCCTGTGCATCACCAGGTGTGACCCAAAAAGCAAAAAAAAAAAAAAAAAAAAAAAAAAATCCAGGGTGGAATCATTATGCGTGTAACGGTATGGTTAGTGTTCAAGTTGTGAGGCTGTGTTAGGATTTACAAGCTGTTGCCAGATAAGAGGTTTGTGGACTTAGTGTTTCTTACAAATGCCCGTGGATGTAAGTTTCATACCTCATTAAATCTAGCAAAAGCAACAATCATGGTGGGAAGCATTGAACAAAGAAAAGTTGCTGAGCTATCCATTTTTTAAAGAACTTTTCCTCCTATATACCACAAGGTGGCATTAACCAGTTGTTCCTGCCATTTTGCAGAATGGATCTCAGTTGGAAAGCATTCATTTGAGAAATAACTTTCGTTTGATGGCTGTTCCTACCCCGCTGGTGATAGAATGCTATAGTCCAGCTTTCATCCTCACACATTTGTCTCTCATGGAGGACAAATGTTTATATTTTCTTTTTGTTTGTTTTGCTTTTTGTTTTGGGGGCACACTCAGCTATGCTCAGGGCTTACTCCTGACTCTGCACTCAGCTAGCAGTGCTCAGAGGACCATATTGAATGCCAGGGTACTTCCAGATGTGACTCCAAGCCCAAAGCAAGTAAAGTCAAAAAAGCACCCTCACAAAAATGTGTAGCAACTGCCTGCACAACCCAAGACGCATTTAACTTTCTCCATCAAGTTCTGACGCATAAAATTAATTGTCAGTCCCCAGCACGTTGGCCTAGCTCCATGAGACACACTGCTGAGTGGGGCCAGGCAGGCTGAGCCCCCGCCCTGCTGCAAGGCCCAGGCCCCACCCATACCCACTTCCGCCAGCATGAGATGTCATGCTGCTGTATCATCCCAGTTCCACAGCTCCTGGAGTGCCCGGCTACATACACAGCCACGCAACACCTCCAGAGTCCACAGTAGTGACAGCTCAGTAGGAGCACATAAAATTAGATGTGAAAATTACATAGGAACCCACTAAGCTGAGTAAGCAAAAACAAACAAACAACAACAACAAAAAAAACGAAGGCTCTACTAGCACCTACAGCTCAGTAAATCCTTAGGCAATGACTTTAGTAGTACCAAGAGGAGATATGTGTTCAAACAAGCAATATAAAGAAAATTTTGTACCTGCTAAGAGTGCAGCAGAGTGGATGGATAACTGGGGACAGTGGTGATGGGAAGGTTGTACTGGTGGTGGTATTGCTGTTGGAATATTGAATAACTGAAAACTATATTACGAATAGCCTTGTCAATCATGGTGCTTAAATAGTTTCAAACATTTTTTTAAAAGATTAATCTTCACAGGGGCTGGAGAGATAGCACAGCGGGTAGGGCGTTTGCCTTGCACACGGCCGTCCCGGGTTCAATTCCCAGGTTCGATTCCCAGCATCCCATATGGTCCCCTGAGCACCGCCGGGAGTAACTCCTGAGTGCAGAGCCAGGAGTAACCCCTGTGTATCACCAGGTGTTACCCAAAAAGCAAATAAATAATAAATAAAATAAAAATGTACTATAGATTTAAAAAAAAAAGATTAATCATCACAGAGCCAGAAAGATTTTACAGGTTCTTGCCTTACATGTGGCCAACCCCAGTTCAATCCCCAAGCACTGCTTGGAGTGACCCTTGAGCACCAATCGGCGGGGGAAAACACCAGCATCTTTTGATAACTAGAAGTTTTCTAATCTATTTCCCCAAATGACCTCTGAAGTACTGCCTTCAGAACCAGTGATCTTTCACTCAAAAGTAATTTCCCAAAAAGTGATAGAAGTAATTGTTGGCCACACAGTGGTGATTTTGTTGTTGGTGGTTTCTCATTCTCAGGATAAAATTTAGCTTTGGTCTCTCACATCTTCCTCTAAAGGGATCTCTCCACTCCTCGGCATTTTCTGAAGCCATCTGCCTCCTGCTGGGCTTCTCAGCTGCTCTGTGCCCACCCCACCTAGGCCCTGAGACATGTTCCTCAGCTTTAATCACCCCTTTCTCCATCAAGTTCCAAATCCCGGCTTAAATGTCATTCTTGGTTTCTTTCACTCGTGTGTACGCTGTGTTCTTTGACAGCACTCTGTACTTTCTCACCAGAATCTCTCTTCTGTTACTCTGAATCCTTAATTCCTTCTTGCTCACAACAAAGTAGGTACTGAAAGGCAAGGGCCATGTGTATGCTGCGACGTGCCTTTTCACGTCCCAGCACCAGATGAGTGGTGCTGTTTGTTGGATATTGTTGCTTTCCCAGGAAAAACATGTCAGTATTGTGTGGATTTGAATCATTATTGGCGCTTACAGTGCCAGCTCAATAGGGTCTATCTCAGATTTTCAGTGGTTTTCCTTCTTCCTGACTTTTGTTTGTCTGTTTTCCCCAGGCCTGCCGAGGAACTCAGACAGCTGCAGCCACAGCTCCTCGAATCAAGAAGTTTGCAATTTACCGATGGGACCCCGACAAGACTGGGGACAAACCTCGGATGCAAACTTATGAAGTTGATCTGAATAAGTGAGTACCCCAGAAAGCAGATGTTTGATGATGAGGGTAAATTCTTGATCTGATTCAAGAACATGCTTTTCCCATTCTTAGAAGAGTTAAAAACAGACCATCCAATCGCTCTGGTATTGGTCGTCCTTTTGTGTTTGGTTGGTTGGTTTTGGACTACACCTGGTGGTGCTCAGGGGACCACATGCTGTACAAGGAATCAAACCACGCTTGGCCCCATGCTAAGCAAGTGCCTTAACTCCTGCACTTTCTCTCTGGTGTCATCTATTTTTAAAACCAAAATAAGGTTGGTAACTGATTTAAAAAGATAATACCAAGAATCACTTTTATAAAACTCTTTTTCTTCTAATTCAAAAGATGGTGTATTTTAAGGAATGCAGTAGAGTTGGCTTTCTGTGTAGTATTTGAAGTCATATAGAACATTACCAATTTTTAATTTGGGGGCCACACGGGATTCTGCTTAGGGCTTATTGCTGAAGCTGTATTCAGGGATTCTTCACTTTGCTAACCACGTGTAAGGCAAGTGCCTTACTTGCTGTACTGTTTCCAGCTCCTGTTTTCTGTTCTATCATAAGATTGCCACAAGTTTTATTTGGTTTTGGGGCCATACACAGGTTTGAGAGCTACTCCCAGCCCAGCATGAAGGGGACCAAGTAGTGCCAGATATCAAACCCAAGGCTCCTGCATGCAAAGCAGACACTCATCTCCACAGCTCATAAATTGCCACTAATTCAGTGGCTAAAGACAGCATTGATGTATTAAAGTCCTGTAGGTCATAAGTCTGATAAGACCTCAGACAAGCCTATTGTGTTCATTTCTGAAAACTGAGGTGATATTCACTTGTGCTCCATTGGGCAATTGGCAGAGTTTACTTCCATACAGTTAAATTGAGACAGAGGTGCCCTGGATTTTGTTTTTTCTTTTTTTTTTGGGGGGGGGGGGTTGGACCACACTTTAGGGTACTCCTACTCAGGCTAATCCTGGTTCTGTGTTCAGGGGCCACTCCAGGCAATGCTTGGGGAGCCACACGGAGATTCAAACTGGAGTCAGTGGGATACAAAGTAACCACCTGATATGCCCCAAGCCCTTTCCCCTCAACATCCAAAAGAGTGAATCTTTGTAATACTACAATAAGGACACTGCTGGAATTCGTTTCATTTTGGTTTGGGTGGCCACACCTGGCAGTGCTGAGGACTTACTCCTGACTCTGCTCAGGAATCCCTTCTGGCAATGCTTAGGGAACCCTCCAGGGTATTGGGAACTGAATCTGGGTTGACCATGTGCAAGGAACAAACCCCACCTTTGTTCCAGCCCTGGAGTTCGGTATTTAGAGAGAAAATATTTCAAGACAAAAATAAGACTTTCTGGTAAGTGCAAATTAAAAGAATTGGTAGCCAAAAGACTTCCATTACATGAAATGCTAGAGAAAGTTATTCAGCGTAAAGAAAAATAGAATGAGGTAGCACTCAACTATCTTAGTAAAGGAGAAATAAAACACTTTAAAAACAAAATTAAATCTTGGTATCACATACAATGTAATGTGTTGATCATACCTAAGGTCTCTGTAACATTGTATCATATACAATGTAGTGTATTGATCATAAGGTCATTGTAACATTATATCATTCAGTATATAATGTGTTGATCATGCATATTGTTACATAAGAGCAGGAAATAAAGTGCCCACAAGATTGCAAATTGTTCATATAAAAATAAGTGATACAATATTAACTCTGGAAAAGTTGACTTAGAGTCCTATAGTAACTTTTTTTTTTCTTTTTGGGTCACGCTTAGTGGTGCACGAGGGCTACTGTGCACTCAGGAATTACTTCTGGCGGTGCTCAGGGGACCATATGGGATGCTGGGAATTGAACCCAGATCAGCCGCGTGCAAGGCAAAGGCCCTACCCGCTGTGCTATCGCTCCAGCCCCCCTATAGTAACATTTTTTTAGAGTTGCTTTGTGGAGGCCAGACCCAGCAGTGCTCAGGAGCTGCTCCCTGAGCTTTCATTTTAATTTGGGGCCAGAGAGCTAAGACAGGGGTAAAAGTGTTTGCAAATTTTGGGTATTCATCAAACCTCAGGATATGTTGGGGCATTTTTAGACTTAGAAGTATGTTTTATATCTAATACAAATTCAACTATTGGGCTGAAGAGATAGTACAGTGGGTTAGGGCATTTGCCTTGCGTGTGTCCCACAGGGCTTACTTCTGACTCCACGCTTAGAGCTCACTCCTGACTATTCTGGGGGACTATATGGGATGCCAAGGATTGAACCTGAGTTGGCTCCATGCACAGCAAGAGCCCTACCCGCTGTACTATTGCTCCAACCCCTCTTTCTTTCTTTCTTTCTTTCTTTCTTTCTTTCTTTCTTTTCTTTCTTTTTTAACAAAGGTGTTGTTATCAAAATTGAGTTACATGTGGGACACCTCGTTACAGAATGGCTTGATGTGGGGATAAACCCTGTGCATTTGGTGACTCAAAGTGTTAGAAACAAAGTACTGAGAGAGAACAATAGTAGAGAAAAACAAGAGCTTTTCCGTGATAAGGTGATGGAATCTAAAAATAACACAGGGGGCTGGAGCAATAGCACAGTGATTTGCCTTGCACGCAGCCGACCTGAGTTTGATTCCCAGCATCCCATATGGTCCCCTGAGCACCGCCAGGAGTGATTCCTGAGTGCAGAGCCAGGAGTAACCTGTGTATCTCCGGGTGTGACCCAAAAAGCAAAAAAATAAATAAAAATTTGGAAATAGAAAAAAGAAAAGATGGTAGAGTCTAGGCCAGGAAGCTGGCTCAGAGGGCTGGCGCTGTATGCTTTGCACCTGGGAGCCCGGGGTTCAGTTCTCAGTGCCACAGAGGTCTCCAAGCACTGCCAGGTGTGACTACTTCCCACCACCACCGGCCAAAAAAAAACATGGTAGACTCAGGCTCTTACCTTCTTTAAAGAATTCCCCAAGTCTCTAGTTATTCTGCCAGAACGGATGCCCCATGCCACAGTTTTGTTTTAACCACTGATGTAACTCTTAACACCAAATGAAACCTAGCTCCCGGTCAGCTTTCTGTAAAGAATCGAGCGAACAACCATCAGCTTGTCTACTGTGGCACTCGAAGACCTCAAAACACTAGTGATAACACTTCCTCATCCTAGAATAGCAGAGGGGTTTTTTTGTGTTTTTTTTTTTAAGGTTGCAGTTCCCGTTATTAGCAGAGGGCGTTTGTATAGGGATCCGAGAGATAGTACTGAGGGTAAAGATGACCTGGGTTTGATCCCCAGCATCCCCTATGGTCCCCCGAGTCCACCAGAATTGATCCCTGAGCACAGAACCAGGAGTAAATCTTGAGCATCTTTAAGTGTGACCCAAAAAACAAAACAAACAAACCCAAATATGTGGGTATTTGTATACTGCTGATAGACTTGCAGATAATATGCATGTTAACCGAATTTTTTAGGGTTATTTTGCAAGATTCATGTATACATTGGTTATCACATCTTAAATTTGTAGTCTTAGCTATCAAAGATACCAGTAAAAACGGTGTGGGTTGGGGGAGATATGGATAAAACTGTAGGAAATAAGGGAGATAGGATTTCTTTTAAATTCCATACCTAGAAAAGTGCTAAAAGGAAAGAGCAAGGAAGTAGATGTGTTGAGTACTTATCTATGTGCCAGGAACTGTGAAAGCAGGGTGCTTTTATTTAACGTCACAAAATTCTGTGATAGGAATGTTAGCTTAGTGCTAGGGAGATAGTACGACGAGTAAGATGTTGCCTTGCACATGGCTGACCTGGAGTCAGTCCCCAGCACACCATACGGTACCCCAAGCCCCACCAGGTGTGACTCAAAATAAGGGAGAAATGTTAACTTCATCTTTTAAATAAAGAGACAGACTCAATGAGCTATTTCCGTAGAATCAGTCTCTGTAACCGTAGTCCTAAGAAACTAAATGTGTCACAGACACCGTTCTATGTTTTATTTTCCCTTGCACCGATTCCTCAGCAGCAGTCCTGTGAGCTCCTGCTCTCTGTGCCACATAGCGGGAAGCTAAACAGAGACTCAGTGGTGTGCCTATGACCTCGTGAACATCAGCCATGGGTCAGATGAGACTGTTGGGCCCCAGGTGTGAGGGCTGCTGCTCCAATGTTCCTCCCAGGTCCCGTGTGCACAGAGCACTCTGGACTAGAGGCCTGTGTGATTTTTCTTTCGTTCTTTGTACCATGTTGGGGTGGGTGATTGGGTGGGTTGATTTGGGGGGCTTACACCTGACTGCTCAAGGTTTTCTCTTGACTCTGTATTCAGGGTCTCTCCTGGCAGGTATCTGGGGTAATAGCAGTTTTAGGTGTCAAACCCAGGTCAGGGGCTAGAGGATAGTGCAGCGGGCATTTGCACAAAAATTCCCACGTCAGTCAGATGCAAAGTGAACACCTTCCCTGCTGTCCTATTTCTCCAGTCCCCCAACTTTGTTTTCTGTTGTGGTAATACGTTACTAATGAGATATTTAAAACTACTTGATGCCTATATCCTTAAAATTAAAACCAAAAATAATAATAATAATAATAACTTATTTGGGGAGATTTTGCAGGGAACACTAGAAGTTATAAAATTAGGTGAGCGATAGTACAGGGTAATAAGTCACATGCCTTGCATTGTGGCCAGTCTGGTTCAAATGCCCAATACCTCGTATGGTACCCCAAGCACTGCCAAGAATTACTTCTGAACAGAGAGCCCCTGAACAGCACCAGGTATAGCCCCAATACCAAAACATAGTCGAGATCAGATGGCAGTGAAGAGCCAGCCCCAAGAGTGAGCAGTGGACACTTTGCCTGTGGGAGGACAGCACAGAGCCTAGAGTAGCCCCAGACACCTCACTGCCTGGCGTGGTCTTCCCCCAGGGAAAGAAAGTAAAACTCAAACAAAACTGCTAGAATACAGAAGTTGTTTCATCACCTCCTGACATTCCTGCTTTAGATTTCCATTTCTTCAGTGTGTGTGTGTGTGTGTGTGTGTGTGTGTGCGCGCGCGCACCATGATTATTGAACTTGAGCTCTGTGGAGGTGTGGCTCAGCAGGCAAGCACGTGCACGCAGTCTCAGTTTGATCCTTAGCGCCACAAAGGGAGATGAATTAAAAACTCAAATACTTAAGATGTGACAAAACTAAGGCTAGCGAACATTCTGAGAATGACCTGAGGAGGCCAGACAGATGAGAAGTCACCGCTGCAGAGCTCCTTGGACACTAGTCAGTTGTACGCAGAAGGCCTTTACCATAGTGTCTCCTTGGTCATGAGCAGAAGGCCTTTCCCATCGTGTAATTTTTATTCCTATCGGGCTTTTTATTTTTGTCAGATGTGGTCCTATGGTGTTGGATGCTTTAATCAAAATTAAGAACGAAATTGATTCTACCTTGACCTTCCGAAGATCATGCAGAGAAGGTAAGTCTTTCCTTCCCCCTTGATCCGCTGACTCCCACAGCCCCGGGGCAGCCCTGACTGTCAGGACACAGAACAGGGACAGCCCTCTGCCCCTGGACCTTGCTGAGCAGTGAGCTTCCTGTTCTTTAGTACCTTAAAGCTAAACCACACTAAACCACAATTCACATTGGTTTCAGAGTTTGCTTCCTTTCAGGAACTTTTCTGTCAAGTGGTTTTTCACGCACTGCCACACCCTCAGGCTCTTAATTCACCTGTACTACTAGTCACGTTTCCCACTGCTGGGCTTGTTATGAAAGGGGGTAGAAATGGAAATTGTCAACTACGGCTAATGCATATGCATGCTTAATTCTTGTTCAACCTGGGGTGCATATGTCCCCTCCAGCTCCCAGCATCAAGTGCTCAACACCGCAGGTAGGAATGTGCTAAATAGATACAGCATTTCCCTTGGGACTGGAAGGAGAAAATACAGCTGGTAAGCCACTTGCTCTGCACATGGCCAAACCTGGTTCAGTCTCTAGCACCCTATATGGTCCCCCAGGTCCCAGCAGGAGTGCTAGGGATCAAACCCAGGTTGGCCATGTACAAGGCAGAGGGTAGAGACCCACTGGACTGTGGCTCCAGCCCAAGTACCTTTCAAGTGTTTTAATATTTACATGTGGCTGACTCTGCCTGAGTTTCAGCACTGTATGCCTTCCCAGTATCATCACTGCTGTGCCCAGGTCATTCTCAGCACTGCATCCTCATGTCCTGACATTGAACCATTGGAGAATTGCCAGGAGTGGTCCCCAAGGAGAACAATACTTGGGAGTCCTATTCCTAAATCCTGATTCTAAGACATCTGTTTGACATTGAGCTGCTCTGAGAGAACTAGAGTTAATGTTGAAAAAATGGACAGATACTCTAATTGTTTGACTAAATCCTGCTGTTCAGAAAATATTCTGCATTAATCCTATACTTTCCCCTCTGAGTCTTTGCAACACAGGAAACATGAACACTTTTCAATTACCTTTTCACATAAGATTCTTTCAGAGTCAAGCACGTAAGGTATGACCCATGTGGACTGAAAAATGACGCGCTTTTTTCTCTTTTGGGGGGGCAGGGGGGCTTTTAAAGAGACGATTTATTAGGTTGGTGTTTTGTTGGCAGGGTGTGGGGGATCTACACCTAGTAGTGTTCTGGAGACTATGTGGTCCTGGGGATCAAACCATGCCTTCTAAAAGTGTAAAACATATACTCCGGCCCTTTGAGCCATCTCGCTGGCCCTGGATATTTTCTCCAACAGACACATTCATGGAGCATATGCGTTGTAGAAACAACAGAATAATAAGCTCTTTGGATAATCTGTAACTGAGCCTAAACTTGAAATAACAAAGGTAATGTTGATTTGCTCTGACTTACTATATGTGTTTGCATCAAATAGCAGTGACTTTTGATACAGGTTCATTTATCACACGGAACATTGTGCTGGGGATACGGCTCAGCAGTAGAGCCCTTGCCTTGCAAGGGTGAGACCCTGGGTTCTGTCACCACACACACCCCAAAATAAACACTGCCACGTGGTACTGGCCTGGGCCAGCAGTGCCGGGCTCCTTCTACCTTCACTGCTGTCCTAGTGCCCGTCCTTCTGTTATTTCCATCCTCAAGGTTGTCTCATGGCCACAAAACGGTGTTTTGTTTTGTTTTGCAGTACCCAGGATTAAACTCCAAGCCTTATACACGTAAGGCACACACTTTGCATCACCTCCCTGACCCCACAGAATGGTTTTTAGAATCACAGCCTTTAAGGGTCAGCGACATAGTACAGGTGCCAAGGTGCTTGCACTTTGCCTTTGACCCTGGTTTGTACCACACGCCCCAGTACTGGCATCAGCAATCCCTCCCTGAGCACTGCTACAAGGGGCCTCAGAAACTCCCCACCCACGAGATAAATAAGAACTATAGCCTTGAAGTCATTGTTCTAGGCAGGAGGACAAAGAGGATGAAAGACCGCAGGAGTCCTGCCACCGGGCCTAGCCAAGGAGTGCTGCCACCGGTGCCGGAGTAACTGCCCTCCAGAGCAGAGAGCTTGGGGTAGACTGCTCTGGCACGGGCGACAGTGCGTCCAGTGTATCTTCTCTCCCAGGTATCTGCGGCTCCTGTGCAATGAACATCAATGGAGGCAACACGCTGGCTTGCACCCGAAGAATTGACACCAACCTCAACAAAGTCTCCAAAATCTACCCTCTTCCACATATGTATGTGATTAAGGACCTTGTTCCTGTGAGTTGCTGCACCACCCCCCCCCCTTTTTTTTTTAAACTTACAAAATTGTTTGCATGGGGAGACGCATGTATGTGTTGTGTTTTTGGTTTTGTGGGGCAGACTTGTTTGTTTCAATAAGGAATTTGAGTGGTAAAAGAGAAGCACAGTGAGACAGTCCTCCGCCAGCTCATCTGCTGAGAGGTGTCTGAGGATGACAGGACACATTTTAGAATTGGGACAGTCCCAGAAACGAAAAATTTGGCCATAGCTATAAAATTCCTGTAGAAAAATACCAGTTGGGAAATCAGCAGTTGCAAGCCTTCATTTTTGTCTCTCTGTACTCGACACTGAGCTCTGGGGAAAAGGGAGAAAGGACTGTGGGCTTGGGACATTTCCCACACGAGTGAAGGGCAGATTGCTCAACCCCGGCTAACATCATGAGCATTTCTCCTTGCGTAATCTTCCTAGTGTCCGTGCTAGAGGAAGAGTGACTTCTGTCTGTCAGAGGGCAGGATGGGGCCCCTGTGGTAGCACAGCGGATAGGGTGTTTGCCTTGTAGGCAGCCATTCTGGGTTCAATCTTCTATTTCATATGGTTCCCCCAAACCTGCCAGGAGTAAGCCCTGGCACTGCCAGGTATGACCGAAAAACCCAAAAAAGGGGGTGGGCGGGGGGTTGTCAGGGAAAGTAGGCCTTGTCTAAGGAATGCGATAATTGAAAGTGGAGTGGTGATGATGAAACATGACCCTTTTCTCCTCTTCCTCCTAATCTCAGGATTTGAGCAACTTCTATGCTCAGTACAAATCCATCGAGCCGTATTTGAAGAAGAAGGATGAATCCCAGGAAGGCAAAAAGCAGTATCTGCAGTCCATAGAAGACCGTGAAAAGCTGGTCAGTAGTCCCCATTTGTTGCCTTGGTTTGAAGAATGTCTTTGCAGAGATATTTGCCGAGCAGTGTGGCTGGGGTGAGCGGGAGGGGGCTGGGGGAGCAGACAGCTCTGAGGGGCAACATGAGATAATGTGGACCATTCAGTGTGTTCTCAAAAGCAAGCCCTGATGGGGATCCTCTCAGGCCAAGAGGTGTGAGCCCATGTGAGCCCAGAATGGACCAGGGTCCTGCCCTGCCCACTGCTACCATGTTGCCAGCAGTTAGTCCTTTTCCACCTCCTCAAAAAAAAAAAAAAAAGCCAGCATAGTCATGTGTCATTTATTGGCAGCAAAACCTCCTGGGAGATGCCTGCCACGTGATCTGATTGTTGTATGACCATTCAGATAGTGTGCACACACAAACCTAGCCATCACCAGCTGCTCCACACCACACTGCCTTCACGTGTGAGTCCATCACTGCCTGCCAGCACCCTGTCTTACCCACGGAGTGGGATCGTCCACAGCAAACCCGGGCCAGAGCCCTGAGGGTCTTGCCTGCCGCACCTCTGCTGTGTGGACACTCACAGGCCCCCGCCCCCTCGGACTTGCAGTTTCTGTCTGTTGGCCGTAAAGTCTTCAGGTGAGGTGTTGCCAGACCGCATAATTAGTCTCCTTTTGTGCCACTCTCCCTGCTGAGATGTCTCTGATCCGCCTCCTCTCTCCCAGCACCCTGCACCTTAGTGTCCTTGAGGGAGAGAAGAGGAGGAAGGGATGTCTAATGGGGATGGGTTCCTGCAACGTCTGTCGCAGGGCCAAGGACACGTGTCCCACAATCCCCACTTCATGGACTCCACACAGCACCTACCCACTGGCACACCAAGCGCACTCACGGGCAGGGGCTCTGTCTGACACACTGTATCCCACTATCTTGCTGTCTACTAGTTTACCAGTCGATATTGGGGAAAAGGAAGAAATTGTGCCTTCAGAATCTTGAGAAATAATTTTCCATAAAAGACAGCTCTAGGAGCGGGGATATGATTCAGCGGTAGAGTCCATCCATGCTTTGCATGTGCAAGGCTCCGAGTGAGAATGCCTGTCTTGGAGATGATGAGGGTCCCTTTGGTGACGTAAGAGCCACAGCGTGCTCCTCCATCAAGAGTCTCGCGTCTAGGACAGAGCCCTGCACCCTTTCAAACTCCCAGGGTTGGGCTGTAGAGATAGTATTTGTTGAGACATTTGCTTTGTGTGCACCAAACTCAGGCTTCATGTTTGGTACAACATACAGTCCCCTGAGCACCACCAGAAGTGATCCCTGAGCAGAACTGGTCTGGCGACCTAACATCACCCCCTCCAATGAAACATAAAACTCGAAAGTAGATCTAGAGAGACAGTACAGCAGGTAAGGCACTTGCCTTGCCCACTGCTGACCCTTGTTCGATCCCCAGCACCACACATACAGTTCCCTGAGTCCACCAGGAATGATCCCTGAGCACAGTTGGGTGTGGCACAAAACACAAAAGCAGTCAAACTCCCAGGCAGTCTGCCACATCAGGATGAAAGCTGGACTGGCTACTCCGGCCCAGCTGGTCAGCTCACATTCCTCAGGGAGGCAGCTTTCGGGCTAGCAGATGTCTCCTTGATGTGGTTTCATTAATCAGAAGAGGGGTCCCCAGAGCTTATTTTCTAGGTAATCAAGATTTACTTATGTACACAGCTTTTACATAGCCTTTTTCACTTCCTTAGATAAATATCCTGAACATAACCTTTTTTTTTTTTTTTAAATTTTAAAAAGTCATAATGGGGGCTAGAGTGACAGTACAGAGGTTTAGACCCTTAATAATTGGGGGGAACCCAGAAGTTGTCCTGAGGGGAGGAAGCGCATCTGATTGTGCTTGGGGGCCTTGCAGGATCAGACACGGGTCTCCCTCATGCAACTGTGCACTCCGGCTCCTTGCTCCATCTCTCTGGCCCACAGCTCTTTCTCTAATGATCTCTTATTCCACCCCCCTTCTCCCTGTGCAGGATGGGCTGTACGAGTGCATTCTGTGCGCCTGCTGCAGCACCAGCTGCCCCAGCTACTGGTGGAATGGAGACAAATACCTCGGACCTGCGGTTCTTATGCAGGTAAGGTGCTTCCGTAGTTGCTTTAGAAGAAACAAACTCAAGCGTCTCGCCGTCCTGGAGACCAGACACTGGCGGGCAGTGGTATCTTTCACTAGCATCCATTACAGACAGGGTAAAGGTCTTCCCTTGGTTTTCAGTAAATCCAGAGCTTCATCTACAAAATGCCTTCATTTCCATGTCGTGAGTGCCTCTCCAACGAATAGTGGCCTTTTTTGGTAGATCGTGCTTCAGATATTCAACCTTACTGGACTGGAGATAGGGCTCGGCTCTGAAGCACTTGCCTTGCATATTTGAGTGCCTGACTTCAGTTCCAGATACTGCAAAAGATAGAAAAAGAAATGTACCCCAGTGCATTTAGCCCCCCTGAGCTCTTTCTTTCTGGAGCAGCAGTACTTTCGGCTACACCTAAGTTTTCAGGTTTTTCTTACCCTGGAAGCAGTTTTCAGTCTTGCTTTGGGGGGTGGGGGGAGGAGAGTTGTTTTTGAACAGTACTTGGCTGTGCTCGGGATTACTCCTGGCTGTGTGCTTAGAGATCACTCCTGGCAGGTCTTGAGGGACCATATGTAGTGCCAGAGATCAATCCCAGGTTGGCTACATGCAAGGCAAGCTCTCCCTACTTGCTGTATATCTCCCAATCCATAATTTCCACCTCTTCTTTCTTTTCTGGGTTCCTCCCCCCCAGTTTTTGGGTCATACCATCAATGCTCAAGGGTTACTCCTGGCTCCACACTCAAGAATTATTCCTGGCAAAAATAAAATGTTTTTTTAAAAAATAGGTGGCTGGAGTGATAGCACAGCGGGTAGGGGCGTTTGCCTTGTATGTGACCAGCCCAGGTTCGATTCCCAGCATCCCTTATGGTCCCCCGAGCACCGCCAGTAGTAATTCCTGAGTGCAAAGCCAGGAGTAATCCCTGTGCATCGCCGGGTGTGACCCAAAATGCAAAAAAAAAAAAAAAAAAAAAAAAAAAAAAAAAAAAAGAATTACTCCTGGCAGTGCATGGGGGACCATATGAGATGCCAGGTATCGAAGCCCTACCTGCTGTACTGTCTCCAACCCCTCACAATTTCCAGTCTTTTAGCCAGGAAGCTTTCCTCAAAGAAATTTCTCTTTTCTCCTTCCATATTAAAAGCCTCTGGGCCCAAGGCAAGAGCTCAGAAGGCTGGAGTGTATGCCTTCTGAGCAGCACAGAGCTGGGGCAAGTTTCTGTGCACCACTGGGTGTGGCCTTTCACCACTAAGAGAGGCTTTCATGCCTTTCCCCATATGCTTACATCACCGCAAAGAGAATGATCTTCTTTGTTCCAGGAAGGGTGTGCATTTTAGACTTGTGGTCACTGCTTAAGTTATGGAGCCAGAGAAATAGCCCGATGGGCTTACTCCTGACTCTGCACTCAGGAATCACTCCTGACTTGTTGGGAGGACCATGTGGCGTGCCCAGGATCAAACCTGGGTCATCCGTGTGCCAGGCGAATGTCCTACCCACTGTACTATCACTTCGACCCCAATTCTTGTTCATTTTTAAAGAAAGATAAAGTAATTGGGACCAGAGAGATACTACAAGTAAGGTGCTTGCCTTCCATGCTGACAACTTGAGTTTTACCCCCCATCAGGAATGATCAGTCCCTAAGCACAGAGCCAGGAATAAACCCTGAGCGCAGCTGAACGTGATCCAAAAACAAAAAAATAAAGTCTTAAAAAACTAAATTAGTTCAAACAGCTGGAGCACGTTTGTGTGGGAACACCAGATTCAAGTTCCTGCACTGTGTGGTCATCTGAGCACCACACCAGAGGTGTTTGGCTCCAAGCACCCAAAGACAAATGATAAATGTGAACTAAGTATTCATAGTTAGCACCTGTACCAAGAATGAGCCACCGGAAATTGTTGGAGTCCCCCCAGCACCAACACTACAGCAAGCCCAGTGAAAATAGGCTCCATCAGCTTTCAGGGCTCAGGTGACTGGGTCGATGTACTGGTTGAAAGAGAGATTGTACAGCAATTAGGGTGCTTGCCTTGCACGTGGCTGACCCAGGTTTAATCCCTGGCACTCCAGGTGGTCCCTGAGACCACCAGGAGTAACACCTGGGCACCACCTGTGTGACCCAAAAACAAAAAAATCAAAATAAGGAGGGTTGAGGGCCAGAGAGCTAGAGGTATTGAGGTTTTTCTTGCACAGAACCGACCCCGGTTCATTCCCCAGCGCTGCATATGGCATGGCACCACCTCAAGCCCCACTCGGATGACTCCTGAGCATAGCTGGGTTGGCCCAGAAACAATAATAAAGAGAACCTGTAAGTGAAATTCTTTTTCATCACCAAGAGAGATGAAGAGACTCAATACGTTCCCTACCTTCTTTGGTCTGTAATCTGGGTGGGAGGCTAATAAGCACTAATAAACATGAAATAATTAGATGCCTAGTGGCATATAATTAAACACCAGAGAGGCGCAGGTCCATGTGGGTTATAGGTCTTTGGGGATCGTTCATCAAAAGGAGTCAGAGCATCATTGAGAGCCTTTACTGAAAGGTGGCAGGAGGGGCTGGAGCTGTAGCATAGCACGTAAGGTGTTTGCCTTGCACACGGTTGATCCGAAATCCAGTATCCCATATGGTCCCCCAAGCTCTGTCAGGGGTAATTCCTGAGCTCAGAGCCATGAGTTGTCCCTGAGCACCACCAGATGTGGTTCAAAAAACAACAACAGAAGATGGCAGGGGGTGCTGGAGAGAGCACAGCGGGTAGGGCGTTTGCCTTGCACGCGACCGACCCGGGTTCAATTCCCAGCATCCCATATGGTCCCCTGAGTACTGCCAGGAGTAACTCCTGAGTGCAGAGCCAGGAGTAACCCCTGTGCATCGCCAGGTGTGACCCAAAAAGCAAAAAAATAAATTAAAAAATTTAAAAAATAAAAAATGGCAGGGGGCTGGAGCAATAGCACAGTGGGTAGGGCATTTGCCTTGCATGTAGTCGACCTGGGTTTGATTCCCAGGTCCCCTGAGCACTGCCAGGAGTAATTCCTGAGTGCATGAGCCAGGAGTAGCCCCTTTGCCGCCGGGTGTGACCAAAAAAACCCAAAAAAAAAAAAAAAGGTGGCAGGAAGTACAGTGGGGATAAGTCCTCTAAGTGAGAGACTTCAGCCTTCTGCGCCCAGGAGCTTTGGGCTGAGCTGAGTGCTGCTACCCTGCTGAGCTCTCCGGGCCTTGGTTTTCCAGGCCTATCGCTGGATGATCGACTCCAGAGATGACTTCACCGAGGAGCGGCTGGCCAAACTACAGGACCCGTTCTCGCTGTACCGCTGCCACACCATCATGAACTGCACAAAGACGTGTCCGAAGGTACGAGGGGCTACCCTTCGCTCTGCCGTCCTCCCGGGGTGAACACTCTTCCAGGGGCACTCACCAGCCCCCCTCAGGAGCAGGGAGCACCCGGACCTTGAGGAAGTGGGGCGCTGCAGGAGTCTTTGAACAGAACCCTGCATTTGGTCTGCCCAAGTGAGCCCCTGGGGGACCGTATCATCTCCTTGTCTCTCCTCAGTGCAGCTCTGCTCTCCCTTACTCATCTCGCTCTTGGTGTCCCCCTGCTTCCCCTGACCTCTAGCCATACCCGTCCGAGTCCTCGGCCCCTTTTCCTCTGAGAGAACCTCTCTGCCCAGCTCGGCTTCCCACGGCCGCCCCAACAGGGCGGCCAGCTCTGGATGGCTGCCCTGGGCTCAGCCCTTGGTGGCAGGCAGAGAGCACACGGGCCACAGAGCTGCACACACGTGCCTTATCTGCAGAGGCTGTCCAGGCAGTTTCCCTAGGAGGGCAGTGAGAAGGCTGGCAGCTGACACCCAGCGTGACCGGTAACAGTAAGGCTGGCACCACTTCCCAAGGTCACTCAGGTCAGGGCAAGAAAGTGGCCTTCTGCATCCCAGTCGTTTCTGTCACGTGCCTCAGATGCCGACGGTGACGTGTGAAAGACAGAAGAGGTGCTCTTTCAGAGGGGCGGGGCCCTAGTGGGAGAGAGCCGGCCATTGCAGTGGAGGCACAGCCGGAGTGCTCAGGGTCCCGTGCAGTGCTGGGATGGAACCCGGCCTCCCACCTGCATCATTCAGCCTTTGTCTCGCCACCCCTGAGCTAAGGTTTCAGATGTCTGAGGACAGACTGGAGAAATTCTCATCCCCCGGGTTCTAGTGGACTTGATTTGCACTCCCCCTTCTTTGACTATACTGTGGGAAAAGTTGCACTCTAAAAGGTACTGATTCTCTTAAAGGGGCTGAATCCAGGGAAAGCAATCGCTGAAATCAAGAAAATGATGGCGACCTATAAGGAGAAGAAGGCGTCTGCTTGAATGTCCCCATGGTTCAACCTGACCTGGTCAGCTCAGAGCTGGACATAATTTATATATAATTTGAAATCCTTCAGAATTATTGATTTTCGTGAATACTGCATGTATAATAAAAAAAATGTAAGGGAAGAATAAATGATACTTTACTAACAAAAAAGAAGCCTGTTTCTCTTTACGCACTGCAGAGAATGGGAGGGTACCCGCAGGAGTGTGTGCCCTTGATGCACCGAGCCATTGTGGGTGGGCCCGGTGCAGGATGGAGCGGCCCCTCTTCCCTGCACCAGCTGTACTCCTTGGGCAAGGAACTGCGCTTGCCTTCTCCATTTGCTCATATGTGGAATGAGTATCATAATTGCGCCCACATACCCACTTGGCACTTACTCCAAGAACCCACTGAGTGTTAGTTTTTATTATAGAGCCCCCCTGTGTTTAAGGAAAAAAAAGAAACCAGGCCCAAAATGAAGTCATTCATGCTTGGTCCCGCCAAGAAACTAGCAGTTTCAGCCTCCCCTAAAAGTATAGTCTTTTTTCTTTTTTCAGTTTTAGGGTCACACCCAGTTGTGTGCAGGACTCTCTTGGCTCTGTGCTGGGGAATCGCACCTGGAGGGTCTCCCTAAGAACCATGGTATCTGGGCCCAAACCTGAGTCGGCTGCACGGAAGGCAAGCGCCCTGCTCCCTGTATTATCTCTGGCCCCATACGTATAAACTTAAACCAACCTGCAAATTCTAGATCAGCACTAGTGAAACAATCCAATTATCAGGGCCCTGACACCTGCGGTGGGAAGGCAGTTTTGGTTTCACCGAAGATAATCCTTTGGTTTTGCTAATTGCCGCGTCCCTCGGCCTTTCCAGCTGAGAACCCTCCTTTTGGTGCTTACCCTGCCACAGAGCCTTTCTCATTGCTAGACTCGAAGCTGTTTGATGAATCCTTTGATTACATCCCTGCGTTTCTTGAGCTGTATCTTGTGAGGTTTTGTTTTGTGGAGGGCCTCCCTAGCCAAGCTTGGGGACCTGAGGGCCCTCCCTGCAATACTCAGCCTCCCAGCTCTGACCACGGTTCAGTGTGGTACTCATGGGCCACAAGGACCACACTCAGTGGGCTACAACGTGATACTGGGGTTCAGGGGCAGGAGGTAAAGGGGCTCTGTGGCACAGGGATCAAAACAGCATCTAGCGCACCCGGTATTATCTTCTATCCCCAGACGGTTTTGCTTTTCAGTACCAGCTTCTCCAGCTTTCAGTATTTCAAAACCGTTTTGGGAGACTGGAGAGATAGTACAGTGGGTAAGGCACTTGACTTGCATGTATCTTACCCAGGTTCAATCCCCAACATTCACATGGTCCCCTGAGTTCTGCCCGGGAATCATTCCTGAGTGCAGAGCCAGATGTGTCCCCAAAACAAGCCATTTTATTTAGCCTTCACATTTTGTTGAGGCCAGGTTCGAGATTGCTCCAGGAAGGCTGTGAAGGACTCCTCAAACAATGAATGGACTCGGGGCTGGAGCCTTGTACGTGGCCTACCCAGGTTCATTCCCAGCATCCCATATGGTCCCCTGAGCACCGCCAGGGGTAATTCCTGAATGCAGAGCCAGGAGTAATTCTGTGCATCACCAGGTGTGACCCAAAAAGCAAAAAAAAAAACAAAAAACAAGGGACACCTCACAGCAAACCTGAACTCCCACACTGCTGCTTTGGCTCTGGGGTACTTCAAAAGTCACCAGACATTGGGCTGGAGAGAGACGTTCACAAGCCAAAGTGCTTCCCACACTGAGGCCAGGTTCAGTCGCACTAGGTGTAGTCCAGAAACAATAACCCAAAAAGTAGCAACCTTCTGAAGAGACAGTACAAAAGTATGTCAAGTGATCATCTGCACTTGTTTGTTCATTGCAGCACTGTTTACAATAGCCAGAATCTGGAAAAAACCTGAGTGCCTGAGAACAGATGACTGGTTAAAGAAACGTTGGTACATCTACACAGTGGAGTACTATGTAGCTGTTAGAAAAGATGAAGTCATGAAATTTACATACAAGTGGTACTACATGGGAATTATCATGCTAAGCGAAATGAGTCAGAGAGGGACAGACATAGAAAGATTGCATTCATCTGGGGAACATAAAGTAACAAAATAGGATACTAAACACCCAAGACTGGCCGGGATTAGTACCAGGAGGTTTGCTCCATGGCTTGGAGGCCAGCCGTGCATGCTAGGGGAAAAGGCAGCTCAGATAGAGAAGGGAGAACCAAATAAAGGGTGTTGGGAGGATCCTCCCAGGATGGGAGATGCATGCTGAAAATAGACTATAGACCGAACATGATTGCCACTCAATGCCTCCTTTGCAAACCACAGCACCCAAAAGGAGAGAGAGAAAAGGGAATGCCCTGCCACAGAGGCGGGGGGGATGGGGAATGGGAGAGATACTGGGATCAGTGGTGGTGGAAAATGGGCACTGGTGGAGGGATGGGTATTCGATCATTGTATAATTGAAACCGAAGCACAAAAATTTGTAAATCTACAACTATACCTCGTGGTGTTTCACTAATAAAAAAAAAAAGTATGTCAAGTGAAAAGTGGAAGCCTTGGACTGGAGAGACAGAAGCTAAGGCACTTACATTGCACGCGGCCAAGCTGTGGGTCCTCAGTGTTGTCTCTGGTCTCCCAAGCACTGCCAAGAGTAGACCCTGAGCACCACTACTGGAAGTGGCCCACAAACAAAACCCAAAACAAATGTGGAAGCCTTGGGCTAAGGGTTAAGATATTTGCCTTGCCTGCGACCACCACCTGTTCAATCCCAGCCCTGCACATGGACCCTGAGCACCACTAGGAGTGATTCCTGAATACATCCAAGCATAGCAAAAAAATAATAATCAAGAACTTGTGTGGTCTTGGGGGTCACACACCTGGGTGCTCACTCCTAGAGGTGCTCCTACGGGCAATTCCTGGGGAACCCTCTGCAGTGCCAGAGACTGGCATTGTGGTCTGCAAGCCAAGCACTCTAATTCCTCTGCTATCGCCCCAGCCCCTCAAGCCTGTTTTCTGGGATGTAGCAGTGAGTTTATCAAGAAACATGGGCTTCCTGAATCATCTTAGGTGGCTAAGATAAAAAAAGGTCTCAGCCACTGAGAATGAATGTTAACAAGCTTTGTGGCAGGAATGGGGCATAATTCAAATGCATTCATCGCTGCCACAGCAAGGGATGAGATGCTGGGCTAAAAAGGATCAAGATTTGATTTGTTCCCTGCCACCAGAAGCCCAGGACACTAGAACAAAGGATCATCCAAAATGCAGAGAACAGGGGCTTTGTCCTTAAGTTTCTCAGAATTCTTTCCTTTGGGGTTTGTATTTTTGGTGTTTGGGGGCCATAAGCAGCAGTGCTCAGGGACTACGCAAGCAGTATGAGGGGGACCATGTGGTGTCGGGGATTGAACCTAAACGTCCTGCATGCAAAGCACACGCTCCAGCCCTTTGAGGGTCTCTCTGACCTGCATCTTGGAATGCTTTTTTTTGGGGGGGTGGGGGGGTAGGAGGGGTTGTCCATCAAAACGCTGTGGTGCTCAGGACTTACTCCTGGTTCTGTGCTCAGGAATTACTTCTGGTGGGGTTTAGGGGACAATATGGGGTGCGGGGATTGAACCTGGGTCAGCCACGTGCAAGGCAAGCTTCCTGACATGCTGTACTCTCGCTCTGGCTTGCATTTCAGAATTCTTGGCCACCTCAGTAAGATCACACAGTACATGTTCCTCATCGGGAACTAGCAAACCCTCGGATTCAGTCCACAGAGGACAGGAGAAAGGTGTGTTTCCTGTGTGTTCACGTCTCCTGCTCCCTTCTGCCCTGATGGAAGGAAGATCAAGTTCCTGGGCTCCTGCAGAACAGGACTTTGTTCCTATCTCTAGGTCAGAAGGAAGCATGGGGTTGTCTCCTGGCATGTACTGACAGTTCCACAACTCTAGCTCTGATAAGAAGCAGGCGGTGCCAGGGAGGTGCCGTCTTGCAATCCCTTCTCTGACGCTGTGCAACTATAGGTCCTGCTCACCTCATTTAAACTCACTCAGAGCTGAACTTGGCCCACAGCAACAGGTAACTTAATTTAGCACTTGTTTAATCTCTCTGGGTTGCAGGCCAGACTTTTCTAATGTAACTGCAGACCTGGGGCTTGAGAGATAGTACAGCATAAGGTGATTGCCTTGTGGCTGACCCAGGTTCAATGCCCAGTGCCCCCATATGGTCCTCTGAGTCTGCCAGGAATGATCCCTGAGCACAGCCAAAGGTAAACCCTGAGCACTATTGGTTGTTACCCCAAATAAAATTAAATAAGTAAATCTGCAGACCTGAAGATAAAAGATATTTTGTGCTTTATGCTACTTCTGTGCCCTAATTGTGCCCAGATGATATACCTTTGTTCACTAAAAAAAATGCACGGTGGTCATTGGAGCAATAGTACAGCGGGGAGGGTGTTTGCCTTGCATGTGACCAGCCCAGGTTTGATCTCAGACATCCCATATGGTCCCCTGAGCACTGCCAGGAGTAACTCATGAGTGCAGAGTCAGGAGTGAGTGTGAACCAAAAAGCCAGAGGGGAAAAAAAGATACACTATGGGTTGTTTTGAGTTTCTCTAGGAATAAAGCATCTCTTCTCTATCTCTCTGCCTCTCTGTCTCTCTGTCTCACTCTCTCTCTTGCTCTCTCTTGCTCTCCCTCTCTCACTTTTTTTAGTGGGGAGGGTCCAAAAGATAGAAAAAATAGAAAAAAGAATGAATATGAAGGATAGGTATGGTGTCTGCAACAAAAACACAAATATGAAGGGCCAGAGAGAGTTCAATTGACTGAGCACCATGGTTTGCATGCAGGGGATCTGGGTTCTATCCCCAGTGCTACCTGGTTCCCCAGCATTGTTGGGTGTGCCCTCCCCCCTCTTAGACAGAATAAGGAGTCAGAGAGATGACACAGCAGTTAGGGCATTTGCCTTGCACGTGATAGACCTGGGTTCGATCTGGTACCCCATATGGTCCCCCAAGCCCACCAGAAGTGATCCCTGAGCCCAAAGTCAGGAGTAACACCCAAGCGCAGCTGGGTGTGGCCCGATGTGAAATGTGAAGGGCAGAGATGTGACTCTGTGGTGGAAGACAGACCTTGCGTGTATGGAAAATAAGGGACAATGTGGGCAGCACCGTAGCAGTACAGCGTGTGCTTCGCACATGTGGGGTCTGAGGAAGAGCCTTGTCACACCCCCAGAAAGAGAATAAATGTGGTTTCCACATGCAGCCTGCAGTGGAGTGAATGCTTCAGAAATTCAACCAACAGGTCTCTGTGGGAAAACCCTCGATGTGGGAGGCAACTGTGGGGGCTGTGGGGATGGCAAAGACCAACTCTGTGTCCAGCTACCGAGTTAGAGGCCTCCGTGCAGAGGCTGGAGCTTATTATTGCTCATCTCACATCCCCAGCGGTGGGGAGGGCAGCTCTCCCCTGACCTGCGCTAGCAACCACATTCTCTTCCTCTTCTCTTCTGTTTTTTGTTTTTGAACCACACCCAGCAGTGCTCAGGCTTACTTCTGGCTCTGTACTCAGGGATCGCTCCTGGTGTGCTCAGTGAACCATCTGGGATGCCAGGATCGAACCCGGGTCAGCCGCTTGCCAGGCAAACGCTCGACCCACTGTGCTATCGCTCGGGCTTCTTTCTTCCCCTTCTTGCCTAGGAAACGGCACAATAAATCGCTGAATTCTACTTTCTGGGTCTAGACAGCCAAAAATCTGGTCACGGGACTTGAAACTAGGTAAGAAAATTCCCTTTTGTTGCAAAAACTCTAGTGAAACTAGAGAAATCAAGAAGTAAGACCATGATCTAGAATAAACCGGCCCAAACTGGTGACATCTCATGCCTTTGGCCACATGAACCAGACACAGTATGTCCTCTTCAAGGGCCTCCAGGGAGGAGCAGCCCCTGCTGAAAGCTTGGCCGGGGCCCAGCAGCCATCAGCTGCCCCAGACAACCACACAGTCAGAGTCACTTCCCCAGAGGTAACCCCTGGCAGGTGGTGGGGCCTCCCACATCCTCTGTGGCTTGGAAGGGAGCTTGCCCTGGCCTCCGGCCCCCACAAGGCAAGGGGCAAGTGGCAAATGGCCTTCCCAAATGGCTCAGAGGATGGAGCCTCCCAAGCGGAGCAGCGTTGTCGGCAATGCGAAGGAGAAGGCCCGTCCTGGGACACTGCCACTAAGCCCTGCAGGGTTTGGGAAGCTTCTAGGGCAGTGCCAACATCTGAAAGCACCTGCCTTCAGGGCCGGAGTGACAGTACAGTGCGGAGGGCGCTTGCCTTACACTCGGCCGACCTGGGTTCAATCCCCGGCATCCCATACGGTCCCCTGAGCACCAGCAGGAGTGCATGCAGAGCCAGGAGTCTGAGAATTGCTGGGTGGGGTAAGAAAAGAAAGGGAGGAAGGAAGAGAGAGATAAATAGAGAAAGAAAGTGGCTTCTGCCAACCACCTGCCTTCTCATTCATCGAGGCTCTCAACCACTTCACATGAAAGAGAGGAAGGAGGAAGCAAGTGATGACATCAAACTCTCCTTAGCATACCACACACCACCTGTGCCTGCCACTTTCACCAGGCCCACCTGGGGACAAGGGGGAAGAAGGGGCTCTGAGAAGCTACTTGGTCCCACGGAAATGCATCTGCGCATAGGCCAGTTCCTCTCACCTGAACGGAATGAGAATAAAATTGGCCCCGCCCCCACCCCCCAGAGGTCGGCCCAGACTGTATAATGACTCCACTGGCTCCCAGCTGCTCAAACCCCAGTGCGGATGGGGGATGCTCTTGGAGGTGTTCAGGGGACCCTGAGGTGACGATGAGGATTGCGCCTGGGTCTCCTGCATGCAGAATCACCGCTCTAGCCCACTGAGCTGCCTCCCCTGCCCTCCCAGTTGGTCCAGCAAAGTCAGGCACTGCGGCAAGTGCTTTACATATGAAAAGCTTTCTCTTTTCATATGAATGTATCTAAGAACTTCTTAAAGCATTGGGTGGGGGTATGGGGGGGGGGGGGTGTCAGAAGCCAAACTTGGTGCTCAGGGGCCACCCCTGGTAGTGCTAAGGTGGGGAGGAAATTATATAATGATATGTAGTACCAGGGATTGAAACAGGGTGGCCACATGCAAAGCAAACTTTAGGTACTGTACTGTCTCTCCAGCCCTGAAGGGTTATTAATGTCATCTCTGTGCTGCACTCAGAGTGTGTGTGTGTGTGTGTGTGTGTGTGTGTGAGAGAGAGAGAGAGAGAGAGAGAGAGTATGTGTGTGTGTGTGTGTGTGTGTGTGTGTGTGAATGATGGAGGTTTGTTGTGTACCCGTGTGTGAATGATGGAGGTTTGTTGTGTACCCGTGTTGCATGCCCCTCCGGGTATACGTGTTTGTAACTTAGGGCTGCCGCATCTCTGTCTCTGGGTCCTACCAGAGCGGGGGCGCTGCGTCATCGGATCCTGCGTTTGAGGGTTGCTGGGAGCCAGTGAGCGGGGGCGGGGTGGGGCGGGTGGGTCAGGGCGCCCTGGCCGCTGCGGGCTGGCCGAGCCAGGCTCGGACTACACTTCCCAGCAGCCCGGGCGGCGCGGCGGGCTGACGTGGGGCCGCAGTGGGCCGGGCTTGGCGGCGGCGCTCGGAGCTCGCGCCCGCAGCCCCGTCCCCGGCGCCTGGCTGCGGGGTCCCTGCGCTGCCCCGGGCCGCCCCGCCCAGCCCCGCGGTCCCGGGCCCCGCGCCTCTGGCCTGCCGCCTGCCGCCTGCGTCCCCGCGGCGGGGCATCGCGACCCCGGGCCTCGGCGATGAGCTCGAAGCGCCGACATGAGCGCAGGTGAGTGCGCCGGGAGCCGCGCGGTCCCCGGGCCACCTGTCACGGCGCCTGCCGAGGGGCCGCGGCCCCGATCGCGGCCTCCGCGGGGAGAGACCCCAGCCCCCCACCCGCCGCGGGAACCTGAGCCCGGGGTCGTTCTCCAGTGTCCACGAGCCCGGGACGATGCCCAGCGCGGCCGGGCACCGCGCGCCTCCGCGTCCGTCTCACGCAGCTCCGGGCGCTGGTGCGAGACGCTAATTGGGGACGCGCGGTGGCTGTGCGCGCGGGGAGACGCCCCACTCGACCCCCTGCGGGGCTCGTGGTGTCTAGGAAGGCAGCTGGGGCCCTGCGTCCCAGGCCTCGGGGCCGAGCGGATGATGGAACAGCAGAAACCAGGTGGCCCGAATCCTGGGGCAGCCACGCCACCGGCATAGCTGTCAGGGCCACGTACGTTCTCCATGCTACGCGCCGGGCCAGGAGCTCAAGACCCACGCCTTCCAGAATCTTCGTTTATTTTCTATTTTGGGGTCACACCCATCCGTGCTCAGGGCTTGCTCCTGGCTCTGCACTCAGGAATTACTCCTGGCAGTACTCAGGGGACCATATGGATTGCTGGGCAGCAAACCTATCTCAGCCGTGTGTAAGGCAAGCATCCTACCCTCTGTGCTGTGGCCCTGGCCCCAGAGTCAGCATTTCAATCCCACCCATGCAGATGGTAATTTCCTCCTATGCTGAAGGCCCTCTGTGCCCTGGGGACATTCAGCCCCTGCAAGGTGGGGGCTTCTCAAGGAGCTTAGATCTCTCCCTCCACATCTACCCCCTCGCCAATCCGTCTCCCCAATCCAGAGTGCACTCAGGGTGATGGGGGAGGGGGCAGGGTGCTAAGGGAAAAAAAGGCTTCTGGGCTCTACATCTAGAGTCAGGTAAACCTGTAGGGTTGTCCCCCACCCTCAGCCTGTCATAGAAAAGGAGGCAGTGACCATAGGGGACAGCACAGAGGAAGCCCCTTTGCACCCTGGGCAGCGGTCAGGTCCCCAGCAGGAAGCCAGGACTTCCGCAGGAAACAAGAGGTTCCCAAATGGTTTTGACTCTGGCTCCCTTGCATTGCCCCTGGGACAGGCGGCGGAGACAGACTCGGGATAAGTCTATTTTTATTTATTTATTTTGTTTTTTTTTCGGGGGACGGGTCTCACCCGGCCATGCACAGGGGTTGCTCCTGGCTCATGCACTCAGGAATTACTCCTGGCGGTGCTCAGGGGACCATATGGGATGCTGGGAATCTAACCGAGTCAGCCGCGTGCAAGACAAATGCCCTGCCCGCTGTGCTATCACTCCAGCCCCTCAGGATAAGTCTAGTCTCCTCTCTCCCAGGGGCCACTGGGAAGATCTGGACAGTCAGAAGAGCAGGCAGAGATTCCCATCCGGACGATCTGCCCATTCCTGGGTGCCTCGAGCAGGGCCTCTTGATGCAGCCTGAACCTTCCTGAGCCACCCCAGGGAGAGTGAGTGAGTGGTGGCTGGAGACACACACCGAGTGTTTGGTTTTGGTTTTTGCTGTGACCTGCTGAACCACACCCACCAGTGCTCAGCGCCAGCACCCTGTGTGGTGCCAGGGACGGAACCCAGGCTTCCCACATGCCAAACCAGTGTGCCCAGTCCTTTCAGCTATCTCCTGGCACCTCCACAGCAGTGTTTGGATGGCGCCCTGCAGGAGAGAGCCTAGAGCCTGAATTTTCCAGATTGTTTTCCCCCAGATATGACTTTCTAGAGACTTTCTCTAAGCTTCCCCTTAAGGCTGCCTAGGAACGGATCCTGGTAAGGTGCTTGGGGGAAGGGTGGGGGGAGGACGCGTTACAGACATAGGAAGAACTTCCCAGAGGAAGCGTCTTAGTTCCCAGGTGAAGTGGGGTGGCATGGACTGGTCTCTGGCAAGGCCCTGCAAGGAGAGGCCTTGCCCTTCCTCCCAGCTGACCCACTGCAACTGTAAGGCAGGGAGCGAACCCTTGTTTCCATGCAGTCCAGACAGCTGGACATGAGTCCATCCATGCCTCATCCACTTATTCCCAAGCCTCGGCCTGGTCACCATACCCTGAGCAGGACAAGGGACCCTAAGAAGTCACGATGGTCTCTGTGGGTGAGAAAGAGATGGGCAAAGTGGATTGGAGTAAGACAGGCCCGTCCTGGCCTAGGACCAGTCCAGGGGCGAAGTGCTCCTGGTATCTCAGCTTTAGTAAGCTGGGCCAGCTTGCAGGGCTGTGATGCATGAAGTCACATCAACATGAGGTGTGTGTGTTGGGGGCTGGGGAGGGGTTGCAGTGCAATGATGCAGACCTTCTTCCCAGCACTGGGCGAGTTGTGTAGCACTGGGTTTGGGGGCCCACAGAGAGCTGTGACCCAGTCAAACAGACTGTGGGGAAAGTCGAGGGAGACTGAGACCTGGGCCAAAGCAGAAGGCACACCTGGCTGGCAGGGAAGCCAGCCATGCTCCCCTGCAGTCCACATGGCAGAACCTTCAGACAGGGACAGCAGTGGTGGATTCCAGACTATTCCATGGGAGTGGAAGCCCAGAGTCACTGAGGCGCTTACTTCCCAAAGCACAAGCTGCTTGTCAAACCAGGAAACACAATTTGTGAGCAAGATGAGGACACCGTGAGGTTGACACCATGGTTAAAAGTGAGGCCCCACACTCACAGGCTGTGTGGCCCTTGGTCCACTTCCTGTACCTCATCTGTAAAAAGGGCATCTGCCTGCCACTTGTTGAGTCTGCAGAAAGCCCTGCAGCCGTGCCTGGTCTGTGTCCCCTATCACAGCCTTGAGTGGCTTCTTCCCCCTGTGCCATAGAAATGCGCCAAGGGCCAGAGTGATAGTACAGCAGGTAGCAGGCCTGCCTTGCACATGGCCATTCCAGGTTTGATCCCCGGCATCCCATATGATCCCTCATGCCCTGCCAGGAGAGATTCCTGAGTGCAGAGTCCGGAAAAGGTCCCAAGCAGCGCAGAGTGTGGCCCCCAAACAAAAACAAAGTAACTGTGCCAAGAGCAGCCAGGAGGGGTGGGACCCTGCCCGCCCTGCCCACCCTGTCCTGTTCATACTGCCTGTCACTCTGGGATCGTAGTCATTTGGAGACGGGTGCAAAAGGCCTGTGGTCCACTTGTTGGTGACCAGGACAGAGAGCCCAGAGTTGGTAGACTGACCCTTGTGGAGGGCCACTCCTTGGCCTGATCCCAGAATGCTGGCTACGACCAAGAAGCACAGGCCTCACCACTGCGGTCTGTGTGCTGTCTAGGAAGGGAAGGAAGTGGTGCCTGACAAGCCTCCTGGTTTCAGCTGGGCCCACACCAGGTGGAGGGGAGCCTGCCCACCCGGATCTGGCTGGGGGTCTCTTAGCCCCAGAGAAGGCCGCCCTGATCTCCTGCCCCTCCAGTCTGAAACTTATGCCTGGTAGGGGGGTGTTATAGACTTCATCTCGTGTGTGTTTGCATGTGTCTGTCTGTCTGTCTTTGTGTATCTGTGTTGTGTGTCTGTGTCTGTTTGTGTTTATATCTCTGTGTGTCTGTCTATGTGTGTCCCTGTGTGTGTCTGTGGTATCTGTGTGTGTGTCTGTGTATCTGTGCATGTGTGTATATCTTTGTGTGTGTCTGTATCTGTGTGCGCGTGTGTCTTTGTGTGTGTCTGTGTATCTGTGTGTGTGTCTTTGTGTGTGTCTGTGTGTGTGTCTATCTGTGTGCACGTGTGTACCTTTGTGTGTGTATGTGTCTGTGGTGTCTGTCTGTGTGTCTGTGTATCTGTGTGTACGTGTGTGTATCTTTGTGTGTGTCTGTGTGTGTCTGTGTATCTGTGTGCGCGTGTGTGTATCTTTGTGTGTGTGTGTGTGTGTGTGTGTGTGTGTGTGTGTGTGTGTGTGCGCAGTGGGGTTGGGGGAAGAGACAGGAACAAAGCCCAGGCAGGTCCTGAAGCGGGTGTTGCGCACAGACCCTGTTTTCTGACAGTGCACACACAGACCCCACAATGTGAGATCTCTGCTCACGGTTTCGCCATAGCTGAACCTCTCATTTCCCTCACCTGTCAGATGGGAAATAATCAGAGCAGACCTCGTCACGCAGCTGGGAACCTAAGTGGGCAGATGCAGGCAGAGGCAGGCAGAGGCTCTGAACCACGGCTGAAAGGAAGCTCCAGCACCAGGGAAGTTCCTAATGGACGTTGGCTTTGCTCCTTCTCACCTTCAGGACTGTAGGGAACTGTTGTCACCTTCGTTGTCACCTTCCCCTCAGGGGGGCACGGCTAGGAGTGTTCCCCAGTGTTGTAGCAGAGCAATCAAAATCCATCTTGGGGTCCGCACAGCGGTAGGGCGCTGCTTTGCATGCTGCCTAAGCTGGGTTCTGTCCCAGCACCCCATTGGGTCCCCCAGGCCTGGTCAGGAGTGATCCCTCAGAGCCAGGAGTCAGCCCTGAGCGCCACCAGGTGTGGCAAAATAAATAAATAACACAGCCCACCCTGGGGCTGGAAAGAGATCAGGTGGTGGGATGCTGCCGGCATGGGTGAGGCCCTGAGTCTCATCCCTTGCCCCTCTGAACCCTGAGCACCGCTGAGATACAGCCCTGACAGTGGCTAAGTGTTTTCAGGAGCGACCCTTGCTCCCAACATTGCTGCCTCCTATCAAAAGTGAAAGCCAGGGGCTGGAGAGATAGCACAGCGGGTAGGGCGTTTGCCTTGCACGGGGCCGACCTGGGGTTGATTCCCAGCGTCCCATATGGTCCCCTGAGCACCGCCAGGAGTAATTCCTGAGTGCAGAGCCAGGAGTAACCCCTGTGCATCGCCAGGTGTGATCCAAAAAGCAAAAAAAAGAAAAAAGTGAAAGCCAGGTTAGGCGATAGTATAGTGGGGAGGGTGCTTACCTGGCATGCGGCCAACCCGGGTTTGATCTCTGGCACCCCATATGGACCCCAGGCCCCACCGGAAGTGATTCCTCAGTGCAAAGCCAGGAGTAAGCCCTGAGCATTGCCAGGTGTGGCCCCAAAACTAAAACAGAAGAGTGATTGCCTACATAGTGGCCAGAGAGACTGTAAAGTGGGTAGGGCACTTGCGTTGTATAGCCATTGGATTCCCTGTACACCATATGGTCCCTTGAGCCTGTCCAGGGGACTGACTGAGAACTAACTCTTTTTTGGTGTGGCCAAAAAACAAACAACAACAACAAGAAAGAGTGAAAGTCCACTCTGAGGTCAGTCTCCTAGGCTAGCATTCTGACACTGCTGGGTACTTGCTGTGTGGTTTTGGACAAGTTAATGAACTTCTCAGAGCTTCATTTTCTTCTTCAAAGAGATCATCAATATTCCACACCCTGGACATTTTTTCTCTTTTGTTTTGGGCCACACCTGGCAGTGCTCAGGGCTTATTCCTGGCTCTGTGCTCAGGGAATCACTCCTGGCATGACTGAAGGGATCATATGGGGGTGTTGAGGACTGAACCCTGGCCAGCCATGGACAAGGCAAGCTCCCTACCCACTGTAGTATCTTTCTGGAACCACCCTGCATGTTTTTCCCATGGGGACCCCACTCAGCTGAAGTTCGCAGGAGCCCAGACACACTCCTGGTGATACTTGGCCCAGTAGTTCAGGCCTGACCAGGGGAGGCACCACCCAAGCCAGGCAGTGCTCGGGGAGGACCGTACAATGCTGGGGTTCAAACTCAGGGTCTCACGCATGTGCCAGCCGTTTCTTTGCCTGGCCCCAGGCTGGGCGTCTTGTCAGTCTAGATCAGTACCTCCCCCCAGCAGGTCTGGGTCCCTGCCCCTGGAGTAGGGCCTGGACGGGAATGAGGGGTGAAGAGCTCCCGGAGGCTGACCACTGCAGGTAGGGCTGAGCTGGGGAAGCTGGGGTGCCCACCTCCGTCATCCCCCGTTTCTGGGCTCCCACCGCTAAATCCCCAGGTCCAGCAGCTGCAAGTGGAGACCAGCAGTGGATGAAGGAGCGGGTGTGGAGGTGGCTTCAGGCCTGCTGGGAGGATGCGGAGTGGGAGACCCCTCCCGCCGACGCCCTTTCTCCTTCCTGCCCGCAGACAGCAGCCCTCTTGTGGGCAGCACGGCCCCTGGTTATGGGACCCTGACCATCGAGCCTTCTCTCGAGGCCCTCAGCTCCTCAGTTTCATCCGTGGTAGGTGGGGTTGGGGGAGACCGAGGCGGATGCACCCCCGCCGGTCTCGCAGACAGCCCGCCCCACCTTGGCCCTGTCCGCCCCGGCAGAGGCTCAGCGGCTACTCTGGAAGCCCGTGGCGGCTCCTCGGCTATCACCTTGTGGTCTGGCTGCTGGCAGGGATCCCTTTGCTGCTTTTCCGCTGGAAGCCGGCATGGGGGGTGCGGCTGCGTTTCCAGCCGTGCAGTCTGGCACATGCAGAAACACTCATCATCGAAACAAAAGACAAAGAGGTGAGGGGGGCCGCGGTGAGGGGTGGGAGCTGGCGGGTGGGCACTTGCGTGGCTGCTGATTTCCTGGAGGCCCTGACAGGGCTGATCCTCGCCAGATCTGCCTTGTGGCTTTCCCATCCCAGCAGTGGGCTGCAGGGGCAGTCTGGGCGTGCCTGAGATGGTCCCCTCTGCCCTGCATCCCAACCTTCTTCAGCAGGGGGCACGCGGGGCGGGTTGGGATGCGTCGGGCACTTCCGGCCTGAGGCTGCCCCTCATGTTCCAGGATAGTGCTTGGCGGCTCCATACCGTCCAGGTGCAGACCGAGGCCATCAATGAGGACAGATGAGGCTGCCCCCTTATCCCCCACCCATCTCCCAGTGCCACCCACGGGGTGTGATGGCGGGAGAGTCGGGGATGGAGAGCTGCCACATTCCTTCCCAGCCTGGAGCAGCCACTGCAGGTCACGGCAGTAGAGGATGGCCGGAGCCAGGCAGCCTTGGGTGCCGTGCCCGCGGGTTTGTGGGAGGACACAGCCCAGCTCCACGGGAGAGAAGAGGCGGTGAGTGGGCAGCGGGCTCTGGAGGCAGCCTTGCCCCTCCTCGGGGCCTGTGCAGGCCACTCTGCATGTTCTGGTTGTGCTCTTGTGTTCTGGTCCCGTTGCCCCAAACGCTGGCATGTGAGCGGGAAGATGGCGTGTAAGTGTGGGCTTCCTGTGCGGGAGACCCAGGTTTAATCCCCAGCACAGCACTGCATGGTCCCCTGAGCAAACTCCCCACCCGGGCATGGGATCAGGAGCAGCCCCTGCACACTGCTAGGTGTTGCCCCCCCAGAGCGAAAAACAAAACCAGGGGACCAGAACAACAGGTAGGGCACCTGCCTTGCACACGGCCCACTCTGGCTTCATCCCAGGTTCCCTAAGCGCCTCCAGGAGTGATTCCTGAACTCCACCAGTGTGGGCCAAAAGCAATGCAGAAAACAAACAAAACCATCTGCTTCCGGCCAGCTGTGCACCCAAGCCTCTCCTGCCGCTTCCTGTGACGCAAAAACCCCAGCACACACCACACATACATGCACACATACACGCATACACATGCACATACATACAGATGCATGTGTACATGCACACAAACATGTGCGCACACATACATACACACCCACAGACATACATGTACACATGTATAAACATATACACACGCACACATATAAACACATGCTTACACGTGCACGTGCACACACACAGATGTTCACACATATGCACACAGACATACACACACATTCACACACACCCCCCCGCACCTGGGTCACTTCCGTCCTGAAGCTCAGGTCTCTCCCGCCTCCTCTCCCCCCAGAAGCGGCTGTTGCGCTTCTACGTCTTCCAGGGCCGCCGCTACATCTGGCTCGAGACCCAGCAGGCCTTCTGCCACGTCAGGTAGGGCCACAGCCAAGACGGCTTCCACCACTCCCTCCACGGGGCTGGGTCAGGCTCGGGGGGGTGCCGGAAGGGGCCTGGCCTTGGCTCTGCTCTTGGCTGGGGACCGCAGGCCTCAGCCTCTGGGCCGGGTGGAGAGCATCCTCCCTCCTCCTCCTCCTCCTCCACTTGTTTTGAAGGTGGGGAGCCTTCCGAGGCCACCCCCGCAATGTTTACTCAGCCGCATGGTCCCAGTGGGGGGGTGTGGGCACAGATGGCTCTCCGAGCACTGGGCGGGCGACCGACCGTGGAAAGCCTCGAGGGTGGCTGTGACTCAGGCCCTCACCGAGGTCACGACCTTCTGTCCTGAGCCTCGTCCCTAATGGGCCACTCGCTGAGGGCTTGAGCGTATGGACCCAGCGCCTCATCCCTCCAGCCCCGAGCTGCTGCCCCTCAGACCTGGGTGCGAGCTCAGGGACTTTTGTCTGGAATGTGGTTCTGGAGAGCCTCGGGCAGTGAGGCCACCCGGGGAGGGAGGCCCAGTGCCCCTGGGGATCTCTTGGAGCCAGTTTTGAGCACATGTCTTGGGTACCCTTGTGCCATGAGTGAAGGGCCAGGGGTGCATCCCTCCCAGGAGAGGCTCTGGGCTGCCCTCGGCCCCCACCCCCCACCCCAGTCTGCTCTCCTACTGGGGTGGGTGTGCTCAGGGTCTGAGGGCCCCCAGTAAGGGCAGGTGTCAGGCAGAGATGGGGCTGAGCGGGTGGCAGCGGCCTCTGTGACTACATTTCCTGAGAACTGCTCTCTCCGCTGCCAGACCCTGTCCAGGCTCTCTGCTGAAGCCCCCCCAGGGGTCCCCAAGGGCAGTACCTTGACTGTGCCCTGTTGCAGAGAGGAAGCAGGCACCTCTGAGCAGTCAAGGGGCCCCCGTCAGATATGCTCCTGTACCAAAGGGGCTCTTGTAGCCTCTGCCCTTCTCCGTCATTGGGGAATGGGTTTGGGGCCCTCCTGAGCTGGGGGTACAGAGTTTGTACCCATGTCCCTCACGGCACCCCCTCTCCACCCTCCCCTGCCCAGTCTGCTGGACCAAGGCCGCACGTGTGAGGACGTCCATCTCTCCCGCTCCGGCCTCAGCCTCCAGGACCACCACGTGAGGTGAGCATGGAGCAGAGGAGCCTGGAAACAGGGAGCCCCCCTCTATCCCAGGGCTGGTCTGATTCCTCTCACCTCCATTCTGGGACTCAGTTTCCCCAGCTGTGAAAGGGGCAGCTTCTTCTCTGGCCCTGGCTTGGCGCCCAGGGGTCAAGCTGGGGCTCCATTGAGGGAATTTGAGCCTCCAACGCTTCTCCTGCCACAGGAAGGCCGTCTACGGCCCCAACGTCATCAGCGTGCCCGTCAAGTCCTATCTCCAGCTGCTGGTGGACGAGGTAGGGTGGTCTCCTGCCTGCTGTATGGAGGCAGCTGACCTCATACCCTGTCCCATTGCACCTGGGGGTAGGAGGCCCAGAGACCAGCTACACAGCATGCTTCAGAGTGGGGAGGGTCTCTGTTGGGTCCCCACGGCCTATTTTTAATCTTCCCATAGCCCAGCAAGGAGGGACTAGGGATGTCCACTCACTCGTGAGGAACCCGAGCTTGAGGGTCACTCAAAGACCAAAGGGGCTGACACCCCGGGAAGAGCATCCGCCTCATCTCAGACCTCTGAGAAAGGAAGCAACTTGGGTCTGGCCTCATGTGGACTCCATCAGCCACTTAGAAGTAAAGTTATTTTAGGGGCTGGAGCAATAGCACAGCGGGTAGGGCGTTTGCCTTGCACGCGGCTGACCCGGGTTTGATTCCCAGCATTCCATATGGTCCCCCAAGCACCGCCAGGAGTGATTCCTGAGTGCAGAGCCAAGAGTAACCCCTGAGCACCGTCTGGGTGTGACTCAAAAAGCAAAAAAAAAAAAAAAAAAAAGGTAAAATCGTTTTTTAATGAGTGGCCTAACCCTTATGTGCCTTGGTTTCCTCATCGGTAAAGTGGATCTGGTGACCCCTGGAGTGGATGGTGCTTGTAGAGAGGCGGAGAAGGGCCATGTCTTCCCCAACATCTGGGACTTGAGAGTGGAGAGGCCAGGCCTCAAGGGGTGGCCGCTATGAGCACTGGCCGGGGGCAAAGCCTAACTTCGGTCCTTGGGCAGCTGCCTCCCTGCCCCCAGACCGGGGGGCACGTGCCCTGAGTCCGCCTCCCTCCTTCACTCCCCCAGGCGCTGAACCCCTACTACGGGTTCCAGGCCTTTAGCATCGGGCTGTGGCTGGCTGACCACTACTACTGGTACGCCCTGTGCATCTTCCTCATCTCCACCCTCTCCATCTGCGTGTCGCTGTACAAGACCAGAAAGGTGGGTGACGCCCAGTGGACAGGGTGGGCTGGGGCAGACGACTCCTCCAGGGGGGGCCTCCACCCACCTGCCACCCCCATCTCTGCCTGTCCACAGCAAAGCCAGACCCTGAGGGACATGGTCCAGCTGTCGGTGCGGGTGTGTGTGTGCCGGCCAGGAGGAGGTGAGGAGCCTGGGCGGGCGCTGTGGTGGAGGGGAGGGAGGAGGCGCCCCGGAGGGCGCCATGGGCCATGCTCAGCCTTCTGCTTGCCTGCAGAGGAGGAATGGGTGGACTCCAGCCAGCTGGTGCCCGGAGACTGCCTGGTGCTGCCCCAGGAGGGCGGGCTGATGCCCTGTGACGCCGCCCTGGTGGCTGGCGAGTGCATGGTCAACGAGAGCTCCCTGACAGGTTAGCCCCGCATCCCCGCACCCAAGCCCTGGGCCCCACGTCCCCTGGCCATGACCTCCCACCCCCTTCTAACATCCCCTCCCCCGCCGCTCTCAGCCCTGGGTCAGAGCGTGCTCGCTGCTGAGATTTCTGCTTTGCCTGGTGCTTTCAAGGAACCATCCCGGCTTTATGCACTGGTCTGCACCCCTGGGGAATGTGACTTCCATGCTCTGAGCCTCAGAATCCCTATGTACCTCAGGGCTGGACGACTTCCTCCTGGGTCAGGTTTGCTCAGTGCTTGGGGAGCCTGGGTGTGGCAGTCGTGAACTCTGTACCCAGGTCCAGTTCCTAACCATCTGAGCCCCTGGGGGGGGCCCCCGATGAAAATTCCGCCTGGGGCTGAACTCACAGTGAACCCTACGTTTAAGCCCAGCGTGATTAGTCCCCAAGTATTGCTGGGAGCACCAATCCCAAGCACCACACTGGGGATAGCACATCACTAGGTGTGGCACGAAAGCCAAAAATAATATTTTCATCCACATGCGCTAAAGGATTGCTGGGGTTTTTGGGGGGTTTTTGTTGTTGTTGTTGTTACTTGGTTGCTTTGGTTTTGGTTTTGATTTGGGGCCACACTCAGCAGATCTCAGGGCTTGCTCCTGGCTCTGCACTAAGGGATCACTCCTGACAGGGATTAGGGGGCCATATGGGGTACTGGGGATCCAACCCATGTTGGCCACATGCCAGTGCCCTACTCACTGTACTATCACTCCTGCATTTTCTTTTTTTTTTTTAATTTTTTTTTTTTATTGAATCACTGTGAGATACAAAGCTTTCATGTTTGAGTTTCAGTCATACAATGATCAAACACCCATTCCTTCACCAGTGTACATTTTCCACCACCAGTGTCCACAGTACACCCCCCACCCCCATTTAACCCCTCCCCTGCCTCTGTATCACTATATCACTGTCATCCTGTTGTTCATCGATTTACTCGAGCAGGCGCCAGTAATGTCTTCATTCGTCCCAGCCCTGAGATTTTAGCAACCTCTCCTTCCTCATCTTTCCCAACGGCCATATTGGAGGCTCTTGCAGGGTCAGGGGAATGAGGACCCTTATTTGTTACTGTTTTTGGCATATCAAATACGCCGCGGGTAGCTTGCCAGGCTCTGCCTGCAGGCAGGATGCTCTCGGTAGCTTGCCGGGCTCTCCCCCTGCCTCTAATGGCAGACAGTTTCCCCCAAACTCTACTTTTGGGCATTATGGTTTGCAATATAGATACTGAGAGGTTATCACGTTTAGTCCTTTATCTATTTTCAGCACACATCTCCCATCCTGAACGATTCCTCCAACCATCATTGACTTAGTGGTCCCTTCTCTATTCCAGCTGCCTTCTCCCCCAGTTCACACGCCAGCATTTTCTAAAATAATACTTTAAGTTGTTCTGGAGGCGACGCCTAGCAATGTGGCTCTCAGGGGCTGTGTGCTGTGGGGATCCAATCCAAGGCCTCACCCACGCTGGGGCAAACGCTCCCTTACTTGAGCAGTGTGGGGTTGCCCCTCTCTGCCAGGCAGCCTGCCAGGCCTTCCAGAGCTGGACAGATCTTTACTGGCTTGGATATAAGCCACTCCCTGGATTCGCCAGGAGTGATCCTCGAGCCCAGAGCCGGGAGTAAACCCTGAGCACAGCCGAAAAGGAAAAAAACAAAGCAAAGAAACTGTTCCAACAGAAGGGGGGAGCAGAGAGCTAGTTCAGCAGGGAGGGCACTTACCTTAACATAGTCAGCCCAGGTTCAACACATCCGGTACCCCAAGCCCTAGCAGAAGTGATCCTTCCTCGAGCACAGAGCCAGGAGGAACCCCTTAGCACCACTGGGAGTCGCCCCCAAATTTAAACAAGCAATTCCAACAGGAGGAAGTGTCCAGCCCCATGCCCAGGTGCTGCCTGTCCTGGTTGACACCCTCCCCTTGCCTTTCACTCTCTTCGAGCCTCAGGGTCCAGGAGTCCTTTACCCCAGGTTGGCGGGGCCGGTGGGCAGAGGGCTCCAGTAGGCTCATGCCGCCTCCCTTTCAGGGGAGAGTGTCCCCGTGCTGAAGACAGCCCTGCCACAGGCGCCGATCCCCTACTGCCCAGACTCCCACCGACGCCACTCGCTCTTCTGCGGGACCGTCGTCCTGCAGGCCCGCGCCTTCACGGGCCCCCGCGTGCTGGCGGTGGTTACCCGCACAGGTAAGAATCAGGGTGGCAGTGGAAGGCATGGGGGCAGGGCGAGGTGGGCCCAGCTCTGCCCTGCCCTGACCACTTGGGCTTCAGGGGATTGGAGCAGTCACGCCACAGCTGGACGCTCCCTCCGGCTGCACTGGGAGGGGACCCGGTGTCACTGAGTCGCCAGAAGTGACCTTCTCAGCCCAAGCCCCAGCTCTGCGTGAAATGCAGCCCCTAATCTGTAGGCGCTGCCCATCACTTCCTTACTTGGCCCAGAGCCTCCAGGCCGTACTCTGAGACCCCTACAAGGGCAGCCTCCCCCTGACCCTCGTGGACCCTGCCTTGCTTTCCTGCCTCTCTCAGGGTTCTGCACGGTCAAAGGGGGCCTGGTGAGCTCCATCCTACACCCCCGGCCGGTCAACTTCAAGTTCTACAAAGACAGCATGAAGTTCGTGGCTGCCCTCTCTGTGCTGGGTGAGTACCCCTCCCCCCCTTGGCTGCTGCAGCACCCTCGGGCCCAGCTGCCACTGAGACCCACGCTGTCTCCCCAGCTCTCCTCGGCACCATCTACAGCATCTTCATCCTGCACCGCAACCGGGTAAGCTTTGGCAGGGGGCCAGGGGAACCCTTCCTGGACCCTTCCCGGCCCGGCGCTGGACAAGCCCGACCCCTCCTCTAGGTGCCTGTGAGCGAGATCGTGATCCGGGCCCTGGACCTGGTGACGGTGGTGGTGCCGCCCGCGCTGCCGGCCGCCATGACAGTGTGCACACTCTACGCCCAGGGCCGGCTCAAGCGCCAGGGCATCTTCTGCCTCCACCCGCTGCGCATCAACCTGGGCGCCAAGCTGCAGCTGGTGTGTTTTGACAAGGTGAGCACCGGAGGGCAGGGTCAGCACAGGGCAGGGCGCGGCACCATGGGCGGATGCCACAACACCCCACCTGCCTCTGCCCTTTGACCATGTGGTCCAGTATCCTGCTAGAGACCCATGCCAGGTGAGGACACTTGGGAACCCTCTCAGCGGCAGATGTGGTGGCCCAGAATGTTTCTTCATTTGTTGGGGACCCACAGAGGGGTCTGCTGAGTACTGGAGAGCCAGCAGGGAGCCCGCACCACCCCCAGGCATGGATGGGATCCCCACATTGGTATTCGTCCTCCTCCTCCCCACCCGAATGAGAGCCGGGGGGGGGGCATGCAGCCACAGATGGAGACAGGCCTTAAGGACCGGAACCAAGGGGCTACGTGAGGGGCAGGATGGGAGTGCATCCCTGAGAGGGGAGTTTGGGGAGGCAGCTCTGAGCAGGCCCCTCGGGGCTCGTGGAGGAGGGGGTCTCAGCAGGGCAGAGCCTGACCGGGCAGAACTGGCCGGTCTGCTGGGGAATTGGATGTTGTGGCCTTGGAGTGTTTCCATTTTTGTGTGTGTTTGTTCTGGGGCCACAGCCTAGCAGTTCTTGGGGCCTACTCCCGGTCTGCTTGGGGATTGCTTCTGGTGACCGTGCTGGGGGACCATGTAGTACTGAGAATCAAACTACGTTGTCCTGCGTACGTAGCACACACTCAGCCACTGGGCCCTCTCTCCAGTGCCACAGTGTTTAGACGGGGACAGGGAGAGGGACAGGATCGGAATCTGAGTGCCGGGAGCCACTGTGGAACTGGGAAGTGCGCTCCCTCCACAGACGGCCTCTCACACTGCTGTGGGCATGTGGTGGGCCAGGGGGAGTGGGCAGGAGCGCCCAGCACCAGCCAGCTGGCCCGGATGTTAAAGACCAGAAGTGGTGCCAGGTTGAGAAACATGAAGGATGGGGAGGGTGACCCCGGCAGAGGGCTGGAACCCCCCACCCCATGACTGACGTGGGTGCTGCCCTAGCAGGACTCACTGGCCAGCCCCACCCTCACCCCCTGCAGACCGGCACACTCACAGAGGACGGCCTGGACGTGATGGGGGTGGTACCCCTGAAGGACCGGGCGTTCCTGCCACTGGTCCCTGAGCCCCGCCGCCTCCCCATGGGACCCCTGCTGCGTGCACTGGCCACCTGCCATGCCCTCAGCCGGCTTCAGGACTCCGCAGTGGGTGACCCCATGGACCTCAAGATGGTGGAATCGACTGGCTGGGTGAGGAGGGGGAGTAGGGCTGCCCCTACCGCAACTCTGCCCACTCTAGATCTCTGGGTGTGCCCCCCGGCCCTAGATTTCTGTGGTGTGCCCCCCCGGCCCCCATCAGTAACAAAAGTGGCCTTGGCCATGTGCTGACCACCAGCCCCGTGCCCACGCAATGCCTGGGGCCCCAGGAAGCAGCTCAGAACCTGCCAAAGGAGGAAATGGGTGGAGCAGGTAGTTGGGACAAAGCCGTCCCAGGTTGTCACCCAGATCCTGTGGGGGCTGGAAGCCAAGACCACACTCTTGACGTTGCTGGTCCTGTCTCCTGTGAGGAGCTGCCGGATGCCAGGGCCTAGTCGCTTCCCCGGGAAGTTCCGGGCCCCGGTCTGCAGCCTGCGCTGAGAGGGCTTCTCTGCCTGCCCGCAGCTCCTGGAGGAGGGGCCAGTTACAGACTCGGAGTTTGGCACCCAGGTCTTGGCCGTGATGAGACCCCCACGTCAGGAGCCCCGGGCACAGGGAATGGTGAGCCGAGGGCTACCCTGGGAGGGGTGGGGTGGGAGGGCACCGATGGGCAGCCGGCGGGGGCCAGCCCCTCAGCCACCTCTCGGCCCTGCAGGAGGAGCCCGTGGTACCCGTCAGCATCCTGGGCCGCTTCCCCTTCTCGTCGGTCCTGCAGCGTATGAATGTGGTGGTCGCGTGGCCAGGGGCCGCCCACCCCGAGGCCTACGTCAAGGGCTCCCCCGAGCTGGTGGCCAGCCTCTGCCAGCCCGAGACAGGTGAGAGGAGCAGGGCGAGTCTGCAGGTCTGGCAAGGGCCGGGGCCCAGCAGCGGGGAGGGCCAAGGGAAGTGCCATCATAAGGGTGGCCAAGGGGGGCCCAGCCTGGTGGGTGCCAAGGGGGGTGGTGTCCATCCTGGAGGAGGGCTAAGGGGGGTTTCCCAGCCTAGGGAGAGCCGGGGGGAGTGTCCAGCCTGGGGGAGGGCTGAGGGAGGTGCCATCATAAGGGAGGGCCAAGGGGAAATGCCCAGCCTGGAGGGGCCAAGGAGAGTACCCATCATAAGGGAGGGCCAAGAGGGGTGCCCAGAGTGGGGGAAGGCTGAGGGGGGTTGCCCAGCCTGGGGGAGGGCCAAGGGGAGTACCCAGCATGGGGGAGGGTGAGTTGGGACCCAGTCTTCTGTCCTCTGATGTGACTCTCCCCGGCAGTGCCCACCCACTTCGCCCAGACACTACAGAACTACACAGCTGCCGGCTACCGTGTCGTGGCCCTGGCGGGCAAGGCACTGCCCATTGCACCTACCCTGGAAGCTGCTCAGCCGCTCACCAGGTGGGCCTGGCCCCTCCCACGGGTCCCAAGGATGGAGCCTCCGACCTACTAGGCTGGGCAGAGAGACTCGGGGGAGGGACCCTGGCCGCCGTGGGGCCTCTGATGCGGGTCTGTGGCCTTGTAGGGACAGCGTGGAGCAGGACCTGAGTCTGCTGGGGCTGCTGGTCATGAGGAACCTGCTGAAGCCACAGACCACCCCCGTGATCCGGGCCCTGCGGAGCACCCGCATCCGCACCATCATGGCCACAGGTGCCCCTCCACGCGCCCTCCTGGCCCTGCTTCCAGTCTTGTCCTTTCGAGGCATTTCCTGGGCTTTTCCCAGAGCGCTTCCCCCCCCCCCCCACACCGTTGCCCCAGGAGGAAAATGAGACTCCCAGGAATGGTTTTGCAAAAACCCAGGGCTCGTGGTTTTGGCCTCCCCAAGTTCAGTTTCCACCTCTGAGAAATGTGGGGGAGAACGGGGTGGAGTCAGCACCTCAGAGTTTGTGACAATCTCATGGAATGGGAAAAAGAGATTCTCAAGCCAGAGCAAGATATAGGGGGTAGCCTTACACGCGGCTGACCTGGGTTCAATCCCCAGTATCCCATATGGTTCCTTGAGCACCCCCAGGGATGGTTCCTGAGTGCAGAGCCAGGATGAACCCCTGAGCATGGCCAGAAAACCATAAAAAGGAAAGAGGTCCTCAGTGGGGTGCCACACACACAGGCAGCAGGTTCCCCATGCCCCTCACACACAGACACGTTCCAGCAGAACCCCTTCACACTCACTCAGGCCCGCCACACATGCCGCCACCCCAGGGACCCACCTGTGTCACCTCACCCTGGGCCCCATGCTGATTCCAGCCCTGCATGTCTCCTAAGACCTTGCCACAGGCAAGGAAACCAGGCTTCGGGACTAGAGCGATAGTACAGCAGGTAGGGCATTTTTGTCTTGCACACGGCCAATCCGGGTCCAATTCCCAGCATCCCATATGGTCCGCCAAACACTGCCAGGAGTAGTTCCTGAGTGCAGAGCCAGGAGTAACCCCTGTGCATCACCAGGTGTGACCTAAAAAGCAAAAAAAAAAAAAAAAAAAAAAACCAGGCTTCAGACTGACGCTGCTTCGCCTCATTGTGGCCCGACCTCAGCCAACTCCACCCCGCTTAGCTCCCCCATCTGCAGGACCAGTGACCTCTGAACACTGACCTTGACTCCTCCCCCTCCCCAGGGGATAACCTGCAGACAGCAGTCACTGTGGCACGCAGCTGTGGCATGGTGGGGCCCCAGGAGCAGCTGGTCATCCTCCATGCCCACCCCCCGGCTCCAGGCCAGCCTGCCTCTCTGGAGCTCCTGCCCGATGACCTCACAGCCGCTGTGAACGGGGCCATGGTAAGTGTGACCCAGCGTGCCTGCCACTCACACCATCACCCCAGGGGCCCACCTGTGTCACCTCACCCTGGGCCCCACGCTGAGCTGAGCCTCCCGGTACCCCAGGATCCTGAGCAGACCGCAGGCTACACTCCGGAGCCGGACCCCCGACACCGCCACCTGGCGCTCAGCGGGTCCACCTTCGAGGTCCTCATGAAGCACTTCCCCAGGCTGCTGCCCAAGGTAGGGAGCCCCTCGCCTCCCCTCCCCCTGCTCTGCTTGGTCCCCTCAACCCCCGCCTCACCCCACTTCTCCACCCCCCATGCCCACAGGTCCTGGTCCAGGGCTGTGTCTTCGCCCGCATGGCCCCCGAGCAGAAGACGAAGCTGGTGCAGGAGTTGCAGAAGCTTCAGTGAGTACAAGCGGGCAGCAGGCCCAGGGCCCCCCAGCGCCCCAACCTGGGCACCCTCAGAGAGAACCCCACCTAGCTCTACTGGCAGTGGACACGCCCTTCATTTGACCAAGTTCCTCCTGGGGGGTGGGTGGTCAGGGTCCAGCCAGCCTTCGGGGTGACTGGGGCCGCATCCCCAGGCCCAGAATCTGCATATGAACTGGGCTGTGCCCCCTTCGTCCCCCCCACCCCGTGTGCCAGGTACTGCGTGGGCATGTGCGGGGACGGTGCCAACGACTGTGGGGCCCTGAAGGCGGCCGACGTGGGCATCTCGCTGTCTCAGGCCGAGGCCTCCGTGGTCTCCCCCTTCACCTCGAGCATGGACAGCATTGAGTGCGTGCCCATGGTCATCAGGTGAGGCGGCAGCCCTGTCCCCCCACCCCCGCCCCCGGGGGCTGAGGGCCTCGCTGGGTTAGCATGGCGTGGTGACCCCTGACGCCCCACCCCCCACGCCACTCCTGCCACTGGGGTGGTCCCTGACTCCCCCACCCCCCACCCTCCAGGGAAGGCCGCTGCTCCCTGGACACGTCCTTCAGCGTCTTCAAATATATGGCCCTGTATAGCCTGACACAGTTCATCTCTGTCCTGCTGCTCTACACGGTGAGCCCCTGGGCACGCTCCAGGCTGGGTAGCCCAGGACTCTGCTGCTTCCTGGCCGTGGGGGGTGGGGAGCGGGGGGAGGGACAGGTCAGAACCTGGGCTGCGGGGCCTGAGTGGGATGCTCAGGCACTGAGTAGGACCCGGTGGCCACAGGATCTGGAGCCACTCACTGCTCTGGGCCCCTGTTTCAGCCCGGGTCCCGGGTGGGAGCTCCGTGTCCACAGGAGAGACTGAGGGGGGGCCTAGGCCGCTGCCCCCCTCCCACCCAGCTCACAGTCCCGACACCACCTTCACCTCCCACCCCAGTTCAGGGAAGTGGGCAGCACCATGAGGCTGTGTGGATCCTGTACCTACGTCTGTCCTTGTCTTCACCATAAATCTCGGAGTGTCCTGAGGCCCAAGGCCATGGGTGACTGGTAACCTAGGGGGGCAGTGATACAGAGCCTCACACTGCCCTGTGCGGGGGGGCTCCCCCAGCAGAATGAGGCCTCCCAGCATCAGGCTCAGGGAGAGGCTTTTTATTTATTTTTATTTATTTATTTTTTTGCTCTTTTGCTTTTGGGATCACACCCGGCAATGCACAGGAGTTACTCCTAGCTCTGCACTCAGGAATTACTCCTGGCGGTACTCAGGGGACCATAAGGGATGCTGGGAATCGAACCTGGGTTGGCCACATGCAAGGCAAATGCCCTACCTGCTGTGCTATCACTCCAGTCCCAGGCTTTTTATTTTTATTTATTTACTTATTACTCATTTATTTTGGTTTGGGGCCACACCCAGCAGTGCTCAGGGCTTACTCCTGGTTCTATAATCTGGAATCTCTCTGTTGCTCTGGCACCTAAGAGGGACTTTTTTTTCTTTTTATTTTTTAAAGTTCATTTTCCCCTACACATTATAGAAACGCTGGCTTATGAAGTTATTCATGGTGATTTGTTACAGACATCCAATGTTCCAACACCAATCTCACCACCATCGCACCTTCCTACCACCATTATCTTCAATTTTCCCCACTAGCCCTTAAGCCTGCCCCCCAGAGTAGGCTCTCAATAATTTATTTTATATTACATATTACAAGTAATTTGCTAAAAGAATGATCAAAAAATGCTTCTTTGGAGAAAGTTAGTGAAGATGGTGACATCTCACCATGGAACCAGTAAGTCCTTATATAAGAGATTATTAAGATGTTGTTAATGGGGTTAAGCCTTCTGTGTTCATATTTTGTTAATAGAGATTGGCTGCCTTCTACATTACATTTCATCCAATCTGGGGGTGCTACTCCTGGTTTATTAATGTTGTAGATTTAAAGATGACACGTGGCCACGAATGCAGCCACAAGCTCCGGGAAGTACAAAGTTCATAACACTGTGATACATCTGGAATTCTAACTGGGTGACGGCTTTGGGGGGTGTGCCTGACTACTGGGACTTCCAGAAGTACAGAGAGATGAGGGGAGGTGGCCCAGCCCCAGCTCCATGAAAGCCTGGAGATTTCAGTCACAAAACCTGCTTACCTGAGTTTTTCAGTAGATTAATTTCTGGAGGCTCATCCCAGCACTAGAGTCCGGCCGGGAGCATGGTAGTGATTGTGGAGAGTAGAGGTTTTTGGCTACCAGGAATCTGTTTGGGCGGGTGCTGGGCTCACCCGCCCCTCTCCTGGGTGCCCTGAATGACTCAGCCTTGCGCAGGGTCAAAAGCATCTCTGCAACTTGTTGATCTCTCTTGAGATTTAGTTATGAGTCTCTGGATCGTGGCCGGTGAATGAACGTACTCGGTGCCAGATGCGATTCATGGTCATGACTTCCGGGGAAAAGGGACTTTTTTTTTTTTTACTGCTTTTTTTTTTATTAGTGAAACACCATGAGGTACGGTTGTAGATTTACAAATTTTTGTACTTGGGTTTCGTTTATACACTGATCAAATACCCACCCCTCCACCAGTGCCCATTTTCCGCCACCATGGATAATATCCCTCCCCCCATCCCCCCTATCCCCCCCTGCCACTGTGGCAGGGCATTCCCCCCTGTTCTGTCTCTCCTTTTGGGTGTTGTGGTCAGCAAAAGAGGCATTGAGTGGCAAACATGTTCAGTCCATAGTCTACTTTCAGCCTGCATCTCCTCTCCTGGGAGTATCCTCCAAACACCCGAAAAGGGACTTTTTAAAGGCAGGGCAGGGACTGGAGAGATAGCACAGTGGGTAGGACATTTGCCTTGCACATGGCCGACCCGGATTCGATTCCCAGCATCCCATATGGTCCCCTGAGCACCGCCAGGAGTAACTCCTGAGTACAGAGCCAGGAGTAACCCCTGTGCATCATGAGGTGTGACCCAAAAATAAATAAATAAATAAAGGTAGAGCAGCCCCCTTCTACTGGACTCAAGGCTCCCCAAGGCCAGGGGTTGCGGCCATCCTGTTAGATTGGAGGATGAAAACCTCCTTCCCCATCAGACTTCTTGAAGGGATTGCTGGTGCTTCCAACATTGACTCTGGCCACCCTGAGTTGGGGCTAAGCCTCAGTGAGTGTCCCCTCTGTCCTCTCCCCAGATCAACACCAACCTGGGCGACGTGCAGTTCCTGGCCATCGACCTGGCTATCACCACCACGGTGGCAGTGCTTATGAGTCGCACGGGGCCAGCGCGAGCCCTGGGCCAGGTGCGGCCTCCCGGAGCCCTGCTCAGCGTGCCCGTGCTCAGCAGCCTGCTGCTGCAGGTGGCGCTGGTGGCCGGCGTGCAGCTGGGGGGCTACTTCCTGACGGTGGCCCAGCCCTGGTGAGTCGGGGAGCCCCTGCCCCACTCCCCGTCTTCCCCACATCTGCTCCCTGACACCAGCTCCTTGCACCGCCCAGGTTCGTGCCTCTGAACAGGACAGCACCAGCTCCCGACAACCTGCCCAACTACGAGAACACGGTGGTCTTCTCTCTGTCCAGCTTCCAGTACCTCATCCTGGCTGTGGCCATGTCCAAGGGGGCGCCCTTCCGCCAGCCGCTCTACACCAATGGTGCCAGCCCGTGGCGGGGCGGGGGCTGGTTCCTGTGGGGAGATGGGGGGTGCCAGGGGCAGAGGGGGAGGAAGATGGGAGAGAAGTGGAGGGGTCCAGGCAGTGCTCCCCAACTGATGGACCCCTCACACCCCCACCCCCCACAGTGTCCTTCCTGGTGGTCCTGGCGCTCTTGGCCTCTATCCTGGTGGGCCTCCTCCTGGCCCCCGGCCTCCTGCAGGGGCCGCTGACGCTGAAGCCCATCGCGGACACCCACTTCAAACTGCTGCTGCTGGGCCTTGTCGCCTTCAACTTCGTGGGGGCCTTCATGGTGGAGAGCGTGCTGGACCAGTGCCTCCCCGCCTGCCTGCAGTGGCTGCGGCCCAAGCGGGTTTCCAAGAAGAGATTCAAGCAGCTGGAGCAGGAGCTGGCCGAGCAGCCCTGGCCGCCCCCTACCGGGCCTGTGAGGTAGTACAGGCCCTGGGCCGACACCCTGGACACTGCATCCCTGCCACTGAGCCTCCCGGGCCTGTCCGCACACATCACCGCCATCCCTCCCTACATCCCTGAGGTTGGCAGTCCGCACACTTGTGCCCCAAGTGCATCCGCCTGGCCCCATCTCTCCTGACTCCACTGTTGGGGGGCAGTACGAACTGTGTGTCCCCCCCGTGAGACCATTCCGGTCCAGACATCAGTCACCAGCCCCACCAGAGCTGCTGTCAGTGTAGCAAATAAAAGTCTCATATTTTCCTGATGCCTGTGCCTGTCTCTCGCCCAAGACCCCGCACCAAGGGCCCCACCTAACTGGCAGCCCTTGGCATGCATCTGCTCCCAGGTACCTAATTGGCAGCCCCAGGCACTCATCTGCTCCCAGCACCACCAGATTTTTCAGAACACAGTGGCAAACACCCTTCCTGGGCCTGCCTCCTCTCATCCGATGATAATAATTCCTCTACATTGAGCAGGTATCCTGCACACCGTTCAGCTCTCTATATGCATCATCATCACTTCTGTTCCCAGTTTACAGATAAGGAAACCGAGGCTTCTAAGTCACCCCCATAGTCAGAGGTGGGGCTGATCTCTTTGTGGCTGATGTTGCATTTCATGTCGACCTGTGGTGCTCCCACACATGAGGTGACGGTGCTCACACACAACTGTGGGCCGCTCCAAGGTTCACCCCCCCCGCCCCCCCGTTACACATGGTGCTCACACGCATCAGAGCTCACACTTTATTTGAAGTGCACAAGCTACAGTTCTGGTGCTCCCCAGGGCTGCAATCCTTTTTTGAGGTGCTCACACGTACCTGCCTGCGTGCAGCTGGAAATCTCTTGTGGTGCCAGGGATCCCAGACAGTGGCACTGCCAGCCCAGTGCCCGTGGATGCGTGTCCCCAGGGATTGGAGCTCAGAATGTAGGTATATGCAAGGCGAGAGCTTAAGACCCAAGGATCCCTCCCACCCCAGGGCCGGATCTCCGCCTAAGGGGCGGGACCAAGACTTGCAGATTGCACTGATAGATAGTACAGCCAGCTGGGCAGTTGCCTTGCATAAGGCCAGCCCAGGTTCAATCCCCATCATCCTACATGGTCCCCTGAGCACAGCCAGGAGTAATTCAGGTGTGGCCCCTCAAAAAAAAAAAAAAAGGAAGCATGACCAAGTGACCAAGAGTCATCCTGGGGCACATCCACCCATTCACTTCTGAAATGGCGTTGGCAGAGCAGCCTGGCGCTGTGTTCCGTGAGCAGAAACGGACCCTTTCCTGTCTTCCTGAGGCTGATGGGCTCTGGGGGCACAGGCAGGGTTCAAGGGTCACAAACAGGGCTGCATAACAGCTGTGAGCAGGAGAGCAGAAGATGCGTAGGGGAACGAACAGAGGGCTTGATCTGGGGGATGTAAAGCTCAACTAGAATTTCTAGGTGGATGCAACAGCTGAAGCAAAGCCCCTAGGGCAGGTGGCAGGAGGAAGGTGCTAATAAACTGTCAGATCCTCTAGAGGTTAAGGTGCCTGACCAGCGAACCCTGGTTCAATCCCCAGGACTGCGTGTGGTCCACTGGAGTGACCCTTGAGTGCAGAGCCAGGAGTAAGTCCTGAGCACCACCTGGTGTGGCCCAAACGAAAAAAAGGAGAGGAGGAGGAGGAGGAGGAAGAGGGAGAGGAGGAGGAGGAAGAGGGGGAGGAGGAAGAGAAGGAGGAGGAAGAGGGGGAGGAGGAGGAGGAGGAGAAAGGAAGGGAAGGAAGGAAGGAAGGAAGGAAGGAAGGAAGGAAGGAAGGAAGGAAGGAAGGAAGGAAGGCCAAACAGAAAGAAAATGCTAGAGACCACTGTGGCCATGGGAAACAGGGATGAGATCCAGCCCCTGGTGAAGGGCAGGAACCTTGGGACCACAGGATGGGACACCAGCAGCTGAGGGCTGGGAACAGGTCCAGTAACGGAAGGAAGAGAACACCCTTCCCCAAAAGGGAGCACCTTCCTAAGCCAGTTCTGGGGCCGATCAGGAGACCTTGAATTTGGACTTGGAGCCCCCTTGCTGCTTCTGTTCCTTGGGGGTCTTCGTGGGGTTAGGCCCTGTTGTCTGTATGTTGCTGAGGAAGAAATATAGAGAGGCCAAAGCAATAGTACAGCGTGTTGGGCGTTTGCCCTACACGGGAGTTCAATCCCTGGCGTCCCATATTGTCCCCTGAGCACCCCCAGGAGTGAGTCCTGAGAGCAGAACCAGGAGTAACCCCTGTGCATCGCCGGGTGTGACCCAGAAAGCCAATAAAAGAAAATAAATGCTAGTCGCGGCCCGGGGTCATAGCTGGAAACCTGCTAAGGAGGAAAACCTGGGCGCAACCAGGCTGGAGAGAAGCGGAGAGATGCGGCCGGGGAGCAGAGCTGAGATCCGTGCCCTAAGCGGGTGGCGCCCTCTTTGCCCACTTGGCCGCTCGTGCTGGGGCCAGATGTGTAGCAGAGGCAGAGGCACGGTCCAGGGCGCCGCCTCCCCCGGGGCCGCCCCCTCAACACTCTTGGAGCCCCGAGAGCGCTGCGTGGCGCCCGGGCGGCGTTAGGACCCAGCGGCTCCGGGGCTGGGGGGCGGGCGCAGGCCCCGTCGGGGGGCCCGGAGGGGGGCTGGTCGCGGGCACAGGGGCGGCTCCGGCGGCGGACTCGGACCTCGGACCGGGCGGCGGAGTGACCCGACAGGTAGGAGAGGGGGCCTGGCCGTCCCGGGGTGCAGGGGTGCCGCGCGCCGCGGGGACCCCCGCCCGCCGCCGTCCCGGCGGATGCTGCGACTCCTCGGGAAGTTCGGGGGCAGCCCCGAGTGGGGGGTCGGCTTTTGTTCTCCCGGGGAGGTTGGAATGTGGCCGTGGGGTGGGCGCGCGGGGACGGAGACGCTGAGAGAGCGGGAGAGCGCGCCCCCAGGCTCCGGGCTGATTGCTCCCAGCTGTGGGGCCGCATCTGGCAGCCCCCACCGCGACCCCGCGACCCCCGCCGCCGCCGGGCGCAGAGTGGGGGCTTCCCGGCTGAGCCCCTGCAGAAGAAGGGCAGCCTTCTAGGGCAAGCCCTGAACTCCCCCACGCCCGGAAACTCCTACAAGTGTCCCGAGACGTGACTCCCTGGAGGGTCGTGGATGCCAGTATCTCTTTACAGCCCCACCTCTTATTACCCGGGGTCCCCCTGCCCCCCAAACCTGGATGCTGGGTTCCAGACCTTCTGGGGATGGAGAGTGTCGGAGCAGAGCCCTGAGAGGCCTCAGCGGGGCACCCCTGCCCCCCACCCACTTGGTGTGCTCCTGAGATCCTGACTCAGACTGCTGCTGTCTGAGGGGTGACCACTGACCTGGCCATGGAGGATAAACCAGGGGTAGAGGCGTGGGGGAGGGGGGTCACCCAGAAGCTACTCCGGTTCCCTCAGTCCCCTCAACACCAGGAGGCTAGTGGTTTGCAGAATAGGTGGCAGCGAACTGACCCTTTCCTGAGGGCTACCAGCTCACAGGCCATACCTCAGTTTCCTCTCCAGACTCCTGGTGCTGGGGGGAGGTGGAGGGGGCTTGAGGGGGTGAATGCAGGAGATAGATAGGGGTGCAGGAGTCCTAGGACTGGGAAGAGAGGTGGTGGAACTGTGCCAGGACTCTGCTCGTGTGTGTGTGTGTGTGTGTGTGTGTGTGTCTGTCTGTCTGTCTGTGTGCTTTTTGGGTCACACCCAGCAATGCTCAGAGATTACTCCTGGCTCTGCACTCAGGAATTAGTTCTGGTGGTGCTCGAGGGACCATATGGGAGGCTGGGAATCGAACCCGGGTCGGCTGTGTACAAGGCAAACTCCCTACCCACTGTGCTATCGCTCCAGCCCCCCAGGCCTCTGCACTTTCCTAGATTTCCCAGGGGGCTGGGGGGGGGGGGGGGAGGTGAAGGTACAGGACAGTAAATCAGACTCACAGGGAGCCGCGTGCAAGAACCGCCCTGGCCGCAGGGGCTGGGAGTGCTCCCGAGGAGTGTCCAGCAGTGACGCAGCTGCCCCCCCACGGCGCAGAGCCACGCTCCGCTCCGGCCCGGTCAATCCTGCCAGGTCCACCAAGTAGCCAGAGACAGAGGCTGGATATCCCAGGAGCTCTTGGAAGTTCAAGAACCTGCTGAAAGCTATGGATGGACCCAGGCCCTTGGACAGCCCTTGCACACAGCCTGAGAAAGGCTGCCGGACCTCCGGGGGTGGGAGACAGCCACGGTCCGCTGCCTCCTTGGGCTCCTCCCTGCCGCTTCCTGCAGCTACAGACAAGCCGTCTGGGGCCCTGGTGCAGACCGCCAGGTTGGGGGAGGCCTGGCAAGAGAGGAGTCTTCTGGGGGCTGGGAGCCCTGCCCAGGCCTAGCTGCCCTAGGGGGCCCAGGGCTAATTGGGAGCAGGTGGTGGGCTTGGCCCATGCTGCTGAGTCTGGGGAACCGAGTGCGCTGGGCGGCGGGGGCTGGAGCTGAGCTGGAGGTCAGTGCATTTGATGCCCAGGGAGGTGTTGGGTCAGAGGGCAGCAGGCAGGATTAAAGCGAGCTGGTGCAGATTAAAAATAACCCCTGGACTGGAGAGACGGTACAGCGGGGAGGGTTGCTTGCCTCACATGCTGCTGCTCCTGTTAAGTCCCCAGCACCACATATGGGTCCCTGAGTACAGCCAGGAGTGGCCTCTGAGCACCCACAGGTGTAGTCCTCACCCCCCAACACAGAATTCAATTAAATAAAGCCCCGTAGGTTGTCAGAGAGAGAGAGCTCAATGGGCTGAGTGCATGCTTTGTCTATGGCCCGCCATCCCTGAGCACACCCCAAAAGTCCCCGCTGTGCACAGTAGAGGGGGGTCTGTCTGCTGATCAAAAACAACCCTGGAGCCAGGTAGGAGCCTCATGTCTCTCAGACACCACAGGGGAAGGGCCCAGAGCTCCTGGGATGAAGGGTCTTCCCCCCACAGTCACCACTAGCCAGCCTCCCTGATGTCTGTCCGTCCGTCTGTCTGTCTGTCTGTTTGGGGCCACACCTGGCGGTGCTCGGGACTTCCTTTTGGCTCTGCGCTCTGTAACCACTCCTGGCGGTGCTCAGGGATGCAGGAGATGAAGCCCAAGTTGGCCACGTGCAAAGCAGGTGCCTTACCCGCTTTACCATCACTGCAGCCGCCCTGGTGTCTGTTCTGAGTGCCTCCTTCTCTGAGTTAGGGTGTGCTCAGTGCCAGGGCAGTAGTGCCTGGCTGCAGCTTGTCCCCTCCACCCCAGCTGTCCTCTGACACCGGCCCAGCCCCCCTTACTGTGTGGCCATGAAAGCTGCAAGCCTCTGCCTGCTTCTCCTGCCCGGTAAGTGGGGACCCCCTTTCTGGGGGGTGGGGTGGTTTTGGGGGGGTGGGAGGCAGCACTAAGCCTCTGTCACCCAGTGGCCAGCCCCACTATTCCACTGTTCCCCAGCTTAGAGACTGAGTACCAGCCCTCCCCCTCCAAAATCTGAGCATACCCAGGACTTTCTTCTAGTTATCCTCAGCAGCATTCCAGAGAGTGGCCCAGGCTCCAGCCTCCCAAGTCTGGGCTTTTCCAGGGGGACGGGGGAGCCATGGTAGGGAGTCTAGAGGCCTGAGGTTCAGTTTTATTTTGTTTTTGCTCTTATTTTGTTTGTTGGGTGAGGACCACACCTGAAAATGTTCAGGGGCTACCTGGTTCTAGGGCCATTGAAGGGTCCAATCATCTTTATAATCTGCTTTGTTTGGTTTTTGTGTTGTACCCAGTGGTGCTCAGGGCTTATTCCTGGTTTGTGTGCTCAGGAATCACACCTGGCTGTACTTAGGAGACCATGGGGGTGCCAGGAATCAAACCAGGGTTGGCCATGAGGAAGGCAGGCACCTTCACCACTATATCTCTGGCCCCCATCTTGTAGAATCTTGAATTTGAAGAGTTACCCAATGGCCAATGGATGCAATACACACACACTCACTCACTCACTCACTCTCACACACTGGGGCTGGAGTGATAGCACAGCGGGTAGGGCATTTGCCTTGCACGCAGCTGACCCGGGTTCGATTCCCAGCATCCCATATGGTATCCCAAGCACCACCAGGAGTAATTCCTGAGTGCAGAGCCAGGAGTAACCCCGGGTGCATTGCCGGGTATGACCCAAAAACAAAACAAAACAAACAAAAAAACTACTCCACACTCTTACGTACACACACACACAAACGCACACATGCCCACACACACATTGCATGCCCCTCATTTAGGGAATGAGTCAACTTCTCTTGGACACCAGTTTCACTCGGGACCTAGGAGATGGCTCAAAGGCTGAGCACATGCTTTGCACTCGGGGGCCTGATTCCATCCCCAGCACTACAGGGTCTCCAGAGCACCCCCGGCATTGAGCTAGGGTTAGCCTCCAAGCACCACCAGGAGCGGCCCCCCAAACAAAGCAAAGCCTAGCTGTAGGATCCTGCTCCTGCAGGGCTCCCCTGAGGTCCTCTACTATCCTTCTTAGCGGGGTCCCCGCTGCCCCTCCTGCACCCCTTACACTTTGCCCTCCCGTGCAGGCCTGCTGGCTCAGGGCCAGTACGATCTGGACCCAGTGCCTCCATTCCCGGACCACATCCAGTACAACCAGTACGGAGAACAGATCGGTGAGCCTCTGCCCGCCCCATGCTCCCCGCCCTGCAAGTCCTCCCTCACAGCAAGTCCTCGGCCTGCAGCTGGTTGGCAGAGGGTGGGAATCTCGGGGGTGTCTGGCTCAGTTTGTGACCTCACTTGCCCGGGAACTGGGGGCTAGCCTGCCTCCCACCCGTTTCACATTCTTTTTGTTGTTGTTGTTTTCAGACATTGCAGACTACTATGATTATCAAGGTACAGGGGGTGGGGGCAGATCAGATGGGGGTGGCCAGGGGGAGGGCTGAGGGGGGCTTGCGGGGGCAGGTGGGGCTGGGAGGGGGCCTGGAGGGCAGGAGAAGACCCCCATCTCCAGTTTCAGAGGTGACTTCCCGGTCCCCCGAGAGGCAGTTCCAGTCTCAGCAGCAAGTCCAGCAGGAGGTCATTTCAGCCCCCACCCCTGGTAGGCTGCTGTCTGTCTCCGCAGGGGCTGTGGGGGGGAGGGCTATGCCTATCCCTGCCCTGAATATATGCCTCACTGACTTCTGCTGTCCCCACTCCAGAACCAGGTAATCCAGAGACGGAGCCCACAGAGCCTGGGCCTCTAGGTGAGCACTGCCCTGGGGAATGAGCCTGGCTTGCTTGGATGCTGGGGTGGAGTAGAGCTATTCCAGAGAGTGCCAGGCCTCGGGCTCTGCCCACAGCGGTAGGTGGACAGACTTGCCCTGCTTTAGGCCCTTTGAGGGGCTCCTTACAGGGGCAGGCAGGGGTCAGGGTCCCCGGGGGGAGAGGGGTGCAGAGAATGTGCCCCGGCTTCCTGTCTGCCAAGGAACCGGGCAAGTGAGACTAAGGGTGGAAGAAAAGGTGGGCAGCTGGGCTTCCTGTGCTGTCTTAAGCCAAGGCTCTGAGATGAGCAGCAGTGCCAGCGTCCCTGTCCCCCTCAGGTGTTCATGTACCATTGGTGTCATGGTCATGACGTCTGTGCCACGTGTGTGCATTTGTGAGCCGATGTTTGAATAGCTGCTGCCTCTAAGTGTGGCTGTGACTCCACACACATAAATAACACCGTCTGCACTCAGACCACGGGCCAGGAAGACGGCGCACAGGGCTGGAGCCCAGGCTTTGCGTGTGGGAGTCCCAGGTTCAGTCTCCAGAAAGCCTGGTCCCTGCAGCCTCACCTGGTGTGATCCCCAGGCCAGAAGACAGAGATTCTGGTGTGGCTCCATGTTGGAGCACTGCCTCCCACATGTGAGGCGCAGGATGGATCCCGGCCACACAAACACACACATGTACAGCAGTTGGGGCTGGGGCGAGAGCTCACAGGGCTAGGCACATGCTTTGGCTTCTGTCCCTGCACACATGGTCCCCCCAGCACCTCTGCCTGTGATCCCCAAGCATCCTGCCCCAGTGGGTATGGCCAGACAAAACCCAAAATTAGGGTCTGGAGCGATAGCACAGCGAGTAGGGCATTTGCCTTGCACGCAGCCGACCCGGGTTCGATTCCCAGCATCCTATATGGTCCCCCGAGCACCGCCAGGAGTAATTCCTGAGTGCATGAACTAGGAGTAACCCCTGTGCATCGCCGGGTGTGACCCAAAAATCAAAAGCCAAAAAAAAAAAAATTAAAGGAAAACAAAATCTGGTGTTGGGAGTGTCAGCACTCCTGCGGTAACAGGCAGAGTCCAAGGTCCCGAGGCCTGAGGGGCAGCCTCCTGCCCTCCCAGCCTGGGGCCCGCCACGGGGACCCTGGACTCTGACTCTCTGTGTGTCCCCCCACGCCCAAAGACTGCCGTGAGGAACAGTACCCCTGCACTCGGCTCTACTCCATTCACAAGCCCTGCAAGCAGTGCGTCAACGAGATCTGCTTCTACAGGTGCGCTGCGGGGGGGGGGGGGGGGCCAGCAGGGGGCGCTCCAGCCTGGGGGTGGGGCGGGGCACAGCCTGATTCCCCTGCCCAGGTCCTGTCTGGGCCCTCCAGGCAGGGCAGGGGTTGGGGTGGGGCAGGTAGCTGACACCTCCTACGCCCCCCCCCCCCCCCCCCGTGCCCCCAGCCTCCGCCGGGTGTATGTGGTCAACAGGGAGATCTGTGTCCGCACCGTCTGCGCCCATGAGGAGCTGCTCCGAGGTAGGAGGGCATCATGCCGCCACCTCCTGCTCCTGGTCCATCAACCCCCCCCATTTATTAAACTCGGGGTGCTGGGGTGCGGGGTGATGGGGTGAGAGCTCGGAGGGCTATGCGCATGCTTTGGCTTCTGTCCTAGCATCTCTGCATGCGACCCTTAACCATCTGTGCCCCACTGGGTGGGGCCCCAGAACCAAACCCCAAATTAAGGGAAAACAGAATCCGGTGTCCAGCCCCCCCTGACCCCAGCTCTGTTCCATCCCTGCCTGCAGCTGACCTCTGCCGGGACAAGTTCTCCAAGTGCGGAGTCATGGCCCTCAGTGGCATGTGCCAGTCGGTGTCTGCCTCCTGTGCCAGGAGCTGTGGGGGCTGCTAGGGGGCAGCTGGCACCCCCAAGTCTGGGCCCTCAGGCCCAGCCTGACCTGGTGCTTCTCCCCGCCCCCCACCCGCCCCTCCTCCCGTGTATTCTGTCAAGAGGTAGCGCTGGGCCTGGGCTTGCCTCAGGCCCCACCCAGCCTGTGGCCACCCCCGGGCTCCCTGGGGGCAGCAGGGGCCCTGCCCTGCCCCTTAGTGCCTCCGAGGAGGGGTCCCCTCCCAGCCCCCCACCCCAAGGTATGCGATGCCCCTCAACCCAGCTGGTCTGCTTGGATTTTCTACAGTCCCCAGGGCATTGGCCACCTTGATTTTACATAAAATTAAAAACCGTTTTTATAAAAGATTCAGACTCAGCCTCTCAGTTGGAGGCCCAGGGAGGGAGGCTGAGGCAGAGCCCAGACACAGCACCCCAACCCCGAGGCTTTGCCTCTGCACCACTGGAGTGCGTGTGTGTGTATGTGTGTATGTATACGCATGCGTGTATGCTCACGTACTGCTGGGATGTGTGTGTTTGTATATGTGTGCATGATGCGTGTGTGTGCTCACGCACCACTGGGATGTGTGCATGTGTGTGTGTGTGTGTGTGTGCGTGCTCCCTAACTCCAAGGCTTTGCCTCTGCACCACTGGAGTTTGTGTGTCTGTGTGTGTGTTCTCTAACCCCCAGGCTTTGCCTCTGCACCACTGGAGTGTGTGTATGTTTGTGTGTGTGTGCCCCCTAACTCCAAGGCTTTGCCTCTGCACCACTGGGGTGCATGTATGTGTGTGCCCATGCCCCCCAATCCTGAGGCTTTTCCTCTGCACCACTGGGATGTGTGCGTGTGCGTGTGTGTGTGTCTCAGCCCTACCACACAGCCAGGGTGTGTTTCCATATTGTTCTAGAGAGTTCACGGGTCAGGGCTGCTTGGAGGGTCGTGTCCCACCCTCAGAGGGAGGTGAGGGAGTGGGGTGTAAGTGGGAGGCCCAGGCTGGTCCACTCTGAGGGGTGTGTCCCCCCGCCCTGCAGCAGAGCTCTGTCCCACGGGCCTCAGGTAGCCTGTGACCGCCCCACCTTAACGGTGGGGGGGGGGGGGGGTGAGGGACATAGCCCAGAGGCAGGAAGTCTCCCAGCCGAGGGCCAGCTGGGGCAAAGCCTGAAAGCCTGATGCTGGACCGGGAGCGACAACACGAGAGACACTTCCCATCTCCTTGAGGGAGCAGGCACCTTCCCAAGCACCTCCTCAGAGCCACTTGGAAGCAGGTACATACATTACAGACGGGTAAACAGAGGCTCCATGGGCTGAGGCCCACCTGCTGTGGTCTCCCTACAGCCTGGGGAGTGGGCAGAGGGCTGCAGTATAGACTGTGCCCTGGGGTGAGTGCCCACTGGACTCCTGGGAATTCACCTCTCAGCCCAGACCTCTCCAGGGTCACCTGAGTCCCCTCACCCACCCTACCCCCCCACCGCTGGCATCTCCCCAGGAGTTGCCATAACACATTCATAGAAAAAGGACACATACACACCGGTGGTTTGTAGAAAAATGGGAATTTGTTACAAAAATCCAACAGTTCTGAACCATTAACATCGTAAAAAGGTACAAAAATACGGAAACTCTGAACACAGGGGTTTCCTGACTAACTCCCTGAACGAAGGTGGCGAGATCCAAGGGTCTCCTCTGCTTGCTCCTCCCCGTGAGCCCCTGCTCCCGGGAAAGGCAAGGGGCCGCAGCCACTCGGGGGACCGTGTGCAATCAGGAGGGGCGCACTGAGGTGGCGGTCACATATGTGGGGGACAGCAACCTAATGGCCGCTGTGGGGCCAGGCTCAGTGCTGGACACACCCCCACACACACCTCTCAGCACTGCCACCCGCCTTTCCCTCCCCCCAGCTGAGCTCTGGGGCTGGATTCGGGGTGGTGTGGGGGTGGGGGGCTCACTGCTGCTGAGCTGACTCTCCGCTGCCCTGGGGGATGCCGGCCGAGGAGGGGCTCATTTCTCCGCGGGGCCGGAAGAGAAGGGCGCCGAGCTCCTCCGAAGTTCCTGCTGCAGCTGCCCCTTCAGCGTGGACACCTGGGGAGAAGGTCCGGCCCCCTGATGCTCTCGCCCCAAGGGGTGCTGGGGCCTCACTGAACAGGCTCCCTCGCCCCTAGTGTGCACCTACAGATTGTCGCCTGCTGCTCAGCACGTCTCTGGGGACCACTGCTCCCCACTCGTCCCTCTGATCCGCCTGGCCAGACGGGATCAGATTGGGAGAGACCCAGGAAGGAAGGGGCCGTGATCCCAGCTGGCCTGCGAGTGGGGAAACTGGCTACTGCTGTGGGCAGGGAAGGGGGCACCCTAGGACACAGCACCACCTCCCCTCTGGGGTCTTGAGGCAGGGCTGACCCCCGGCTGGAGCTGATGAGGCCTCTGGGTTTGGGACAAGAAGTCAGCAGAGCCATTGCAGAACGGATGAGTGGGGCCGGGGCCCAGCTAGGACAGCGGCCTGGAGTCGGCAACCCTCCCCCACTCTGGGTGCCTGACTGCTCAGTCCTGGGGGGGCCACCCGAGCCCAGCCTGGGTACCTGCTCCTCCAGCCCGCGCACCCTCTGCCGGTGGGCCCGCTCCCGCGACTCCAGCGTGCGCTCCGTCTGCACCTGGGCACTGCGCAGACGCTCCACCTCCTGCTGCAGCTCCAGCTGGGCCGGGCTGTGGTTCTGCTCCAGCACCTCCACCTGGGCCTGCAGGAAAGGCCGCTCATCAGGGGCGGGCATGCGTGTGTGCACGTGCAAGTGTGTGTGTGTGGGGGGGGGGAGCGTGTGTGTGTGTCATAAGAACTTAAAGGTCCCCTTCTGCTGGCTGCAAAACCTGGGCCGGTGCCTTTTTCAGTTTTGGGGCCATACCCTGCGCGATGCTCAGAGCTTACTCCGGCTCTGCACTCAGAGATCACTCCTGGAGGTCCTCGGGGGCCAGCTGGGGAGCCAGGGACTGAACTGGGTCAGCCACTTGCAATATTCCTGCGACCCTCCCTTCCATCTTTCCAAATAAGTTTCAAGAGAAAACTATCTTGTTTAACGGCCACAGCGATAGTACAGCAGGTATGGCGTTTGCTTCATACGGTGTTTGCTTCACGTGGCCGACCTAGGTTCATTCCCTGGCATCCCATATGGTCCCTGGAGCCCCACCAGGAGTGATTCCTGAGTGCAGAGCCAGGAGTATATCCTGAGCACAGCTGAGTGTGTCCCCACCCCCCCCAAAAAAAACTTTTGTTAAAAAAAAAAGTCACCCCCCCTGCATATAGGAACAAAAGCAAGTTTGTGGACACTCGGCCCGTGTTCAGACACACGCATGCATGTGTGACAGAACCAGTCCTCATGCCCGGGAGCTGCCAACCCCGGGTGTGTGTGAGTCATACCCGATGCCCAAGAACACTTGCACGCCACAGCAGCCGGGGTGAACGGGCCCCGTGCCAGCAGGCTCTGGGCATCTCTCTTCTCCTTGGGGGAAGCCCCTCCCCTAGGGCCTGGCTCCCAGTCACCCCCTCAAGCATCTGGCCTCAGGGGCTCCTGGTTATGGGGGCTGCTTGACTAACATTAGGACAGGCTAGCACGGGGACTGTGGCGGGGCTGGGGTTCGGGCTGAGTGGGCAGGGGCCGGACCTCCAGCAGCTGGATCTGCTTCTGGGCCTCGGCCAGCTCCAGCTCCGCCCCAGAGAGCGTGCGGTCCAGCCGTCCCTTCTCCGCGCTCAGCCGTAGGGTGCCCTCGTGGCTACGGAGCTTCTCCTGCTCCACCTAGGTGGGGCGAGGGGTCAGAGGTCAGGGCCAGGGAGGGGGCAGGGGCTGCGGCAGAGACAGCAGGGCGGGGTCCCCGAGCCAACGGTGGTGGGGAGCACATGCAGCCAAGGCGGGGAGGCACAGTCCACCTTGTCCAGGGTCCTCCTGAGGGCCGCCCGGTCCTTCTCCAGCCGCAGGGCTGACCGCTCCAGCTCCCGCTTCTCGGCCTCCAGCTGCGCCAGCGTGCGTTGCAGGCTGCCCACACGCTCCTGCAGCTTCTGCGCGGTGTGCAGGGCCGCCGCCTCGCCCTCCTGCCGCTGCCGCAGTGCCTGGGACGAGCCGCGAGGCCTGACTGAGACTCGGTGCCCACCCGCTGCTCCGGCCCCCCTCGGGGCCTCAGTCTCCCCCTTCATAGGAGCCGTGGACAGGCTGAACCCTGCTTCCTCGAGGGGAGATCGGGTCTGGCCACGGGAGGGGCGGAGAGAAACGAGAAGCCTCTTACCTCCTGCAGCTGCTGCCGCTGGCCCTCGGCCTCGGCCCGCTGCAGCTCCAGGTCGGCCAGCTCGGCCCGCATGGCCTGCACCTGCTCGCCCAGGTGGCCGCTCTGCTTCCGAGCCTCGGACAGCGCCTGCTTCGCGGCCTCCAGCCGCTCCTGGGGGAGAGGGACTGACGGTCCAGGGCTGCCCAGGGCTCTCCTCGGCTCTGGGTCTCCGGGCGGGGTTCACAAGCCCTCTGGAGAGGGAGCCAGACAAGCCAGCCCGGCCCCGCGTCTGGCCACCATCTGCCCTGGGCAGGGGCCACTCAGCTCGTTCCCACCGAGCCAGCGGGCAGAGCTCAGCAACACTAGCCCTGTTCCGGTATGCGAGTTCAATTCCCAGCCCTGACGTAAAGTAGTCCAAGTCTCCCAGTGCTTCTGCCCCACTGGCCTGGCACCTGACCCCTCCAGGCCTGTCCAAGGAGGCCTGTCCTGTTGGGCCCACGCCAACCCCGGCCTCCACTCCCTGGCTGGTGTGCTCACGGACTGGCTCAAGTGATGGTCCCATGGGCTGGCCTTCCACCCGGGCCCCTCCGGACCACTCCTCTTGGCTGACCCCGGGGTCGCCCCATACCTGGAGCACCTGGCGGTCATGTTCACAGGCGGTCAGCGTCTTCTGCAGCTGCAGATTCTTGTCCTGAGTGCTGGTGAGGCTGGCGCTGTTCTGGGCCAGGGCGTCCGTCAGTCCCTTCACCTTGTCACGCAGGGTCCCCTCACTCTCCTCCACCTTGGCCAGGGCCCCGCTCAGCCGCCCCACCGTCAGCTGCAGGGTCTCTGCCTTCACCTCACCGTC